TGTAAAAGTAGGTTACGCTTCTCCTCGTTTCCTCGTAAAAACCCCCTACGTGCATACTCGCACACCTACTTTTATCAGGCCCACTCGTGCCTACACGTTCCATCGAGTGGGCATGCTTGTATACGAGTCCGGTGTGACGAGTCAGCATTAACTGAGATTTCGACACGGACCTCCAAGTAATTCCCTCGTGTAGCTACCATCGACAAATCAAGATATCTAACGATCGTCGTTGCAATGGTAAATAGTCGAATTTCTACAGAAATGAAAGAAGAAAAAAAAAAAAGGATCACACGAATTTATCCCTGATTTCTATGAAAAAGTAGGGATCCGTAAGATGATTAAATAAAACATTCTAAAACGATATTTACAAATGCAAACGTTAAGAGATATACAACTTTGAATGATTATTGCATCAGCACTCTGTCTCTCTCCACTGGTGTATATAATATTCAGAAATTTATAACGTGTCCCACATTTTTCTCCTGGTATTCTAACAACAATAACAAGGAAATACGTGTTATAACAAATCATGAAAAAATATCCGATGATAATGAATTTGTTTATGATATTGCTTGAAAATACGATGTTAACAAGAAATAAACAGAGTTCGCGTAAACAAATTGGATAGTTCAGGTTGAAAATCAAAGTTCACCCGGTATGCAACCCTTATCGATACACGATCCGCAATTATCGAACGAAGGAATAAATAAACGATTGGGGAATCGCAAACGCGGTCGTTGGTCCTTGTTCCCTCCGTTTCCCACCCACCGGTAGCCAGCGATCAGCTGAAAGCAACTTCTGTTACTTACTCTCGCTGCTAACTGCTCACCTTCACCTCGTCTCTTACTCAACGATCGTGCCGAGTTCTACCCCCGGTTGCGTAATTACCGGCGCGCGATCATTACCGAGTCAAATCGTCACTCGAGCGGAATAAGTGCGTACGCCGGAGAAACGTAGAAATCATGCTCGTTGCTTGTACATTGATCGCGGTTAACCTCGCGCGCATCGGAGAATTCGTGAAAACATTTTCAGGCATTTAACCCTTTAATTGTGTAGAAGAAAAAATTCACGCGTTAGGCTTCGATGGGATCGTTAAGGAGCGATTAAACAGCGACGAATAATACGAAAATGGCATGGATGCCATTTCAAAGGATCGAAACTTTTTTTTCGGGATTAACCTCAGATAGCTCTGCGTCTCGGGGTGAGATTAGCCCGTCTCGACGATACGCGCCGTTTCATTTTACAACAGTTTTTTGCCCGGCGAATGACAACAATTGCCACGAGGAAAGGAAATGGAAAACAGCCGCGATCGGGCGCGCGTGTAGGTGCCAAGGACCGTATAACTTCTTTTTTTCGCGGCACGATAAGAATAACGAACTTCTATCATTTCTGACTTTTCCACACGCGTGCTCTGCCCTCCCGAGGCAAAGCTCGCGTCCTTGCGCGAATTGAACGTTGAACCCCCGACAATGACACGAACCAGCCAGCATCTTTTTCGTCTGTTGATCGTAGTGAATCATCCATTCGGTCAACGAGTCCGAACGATTACACTACTTGTCGGTAGGAATTATCAACGAAAAAGTTGAAAAACTTGTGCGCGTATGTAGGTACAGATCCGGAGGAGGAAACCCGCATTCGCGAACCTTGATAACGACCATGGCCGGTCATCGTTCGCGGATAATGGAAGACGGTTAATTGATGTTACCGAACCAATGGAATCTTTGAAGAAAGCGTTAATCATCTGCTATTTATTTACTCCGATACGCGCCAGTGACACAGAGAAAACCATGAGAAAACAGCTACTGATGGACTTAAATATTCGATAGTACAATAATGTACACTTTAGGCTATTCTTAATTACCATCCGGCATACTGGAGCGATATTGTGATTTAAAAGTCGATCAAAAGAAAACAAAAGAACCCGAGTTTTAAAAGGAAATTGCTTAGGTGCGAGGAGAAGAGATAAATTAGACTCCTTTTGAGTTCTCTCACAATTCTTCCAAAATTAATGGTAAATAAGGGCTTTTTTCCCTATACTTTTAATCAAGGTTCGATCCGTCCATAATAGTTTATGATACACTAATTACCTCCCGAAGTGGTGATTGCGCACGCGTTAATTATCTTATGAATTATTAATTTCCATTACAACGCGGTGTACATTCGAATAAGGTGAAAGAAAATTGTACACATAAAGTAATGAATTACATGACACCGTTAAAGCGTTAAGCGTAACAGAAAAGAGGGGAAAAAAAGGCTTTGTACGTAATAGAAGAGCGTAGCGGGGAAAACATGTTTTGTTCGCGTTAAAGTTCGTACGAATGAATCAACGTGATCGATTATTTTGTTTATTCAAAGCCGATATAATTGTACCGCTTCCGTCACGAGTGTAATCATCCCTTTACGCACGAATTTGACATCCGCGAGTTTTACGTTGCCGATTCGAGCTTGACGGCGTGAACTTTGAAATCGATCTGGGGATCGATGAATCAACGAGGAAACGTCGAAGAAAATCTCGATCGTAGGATCGAGGAACAGCAATGGAAACGGTCGACTAAGAGAATTTATCGAATCTTACGTCGCACCAACGACCTCGTCGACCCTCAAAACCCGATAATACCAGCAGCTTCTCTATTCGAATGCGTTCGCGTGTTATCGAAACTTTTATCCGGCGCTTTTCGTCAGAATCAAACGATCTTTCGGGAATCTCACCGTATCTACGGAGTTACTTGACCCTTTCATGCATCGAATTCGAAGCAAGGACTACGATTTCCCTTAATACATAATCGATCAAACTGGAATATAATATTATTGTACCAAAATAAAATTAATTAATAAAATATAAATGATTGATTCAACGGAACTTTGTTTGAATAATAAAGTTAATTTGACTTTCAAGAATCTTAAAACCCTCCATCACCCTTTTTTCTTCCGCCATATCTGTTTCGGAGCCATCCTCAATGTATTCGTAGCAAAAAACCACGCACACTTGACGAATCAAAATAACAAGACCACGATTCGACATTGTCGGAAAGTTTTCGTACGATAATCGTGCCAATTAGACGGGCTATCGTCAACCTTATAAACTATGTACCAGCGATTCGATCACGATTACCCTTAACCCTCGCGTTGATTCGCTAGATGGAGGCTGAAGGAAAAGAAAAAGAAGAAAAAATGTCGATATCCGAACACTGGTGATTCGTAAAATCCACGCAGGCTCGTCTGAATTATGGATGTGTTGCAGAACAAACATCTGATTAGAATTCGATGGTGACTCGATGTATAATGCGAGATTATTATCGTATCATATCTAAAATACTGTTTTATATAGCCGCGCGGATATCGTACCTGATACACTTTAAATGGCGCAATGAAAACGGTCATTCATGATATGGTACTTTATTATTGTAATTACTCATTATTATAATAGAAAAATTAAATTGTAATTCAACGCAGCCTGTAGTTAAATAGAGAACCGATTTCTGCCCGATGCATCAACGCGTTTGGAAAAGGGACCCATATAACTACGATAACGGGGATAGAGAAGAGTGGAAGAATGTTATCGTTATCGGTGTTCCCTGCCAGGCAAACATCGACCGCTTTACTCCGAAAGAATTGCAAAGAAAAATATGCAATTATACATTATCGTGTTTCGGGATAACACGTCCGGCTGTTTATGGGTGGTACGATCGAGAGCCAGACCAATCGGTAAGCACGGTAACGTGCCTTACCCCCTTACACGTGACCTCTTCATCATGGCTACGTCATATCGATGACCCCATGAGCAAAATAATACGCGATATTCAACAAACGTTTTTACCGAAACGCCAACATATTTTCTACTCCGTGGTATCGAAATGTGACGTGCCCTCGCTTTTGATTATCTTAACGTTATAAATCACGCGATACATGGACCATGGAGTACGCCTCCACGTGGAACGATATGTCAACTCGACGCTAGGACCGGCTCTCCTCCACGGAAATGTAAAGTTCGAAGGTTTCCCGCTTTTTTTTTTTTTCGTCAAACTTTTATCGTATCCGATACGAACGACCGTTTTATACTAATAAGTCAATTTTATATCGTACAACTACTCTGATATCTCTGTAAACGTAATTGAAACGAATATCGTGCTATTCATGGAACAACTCCAAGAGCTATAATGACCGACTGTTTTATAGACTGAATTGTACGATATACTGACCATGAGATACACGCGAATTACATGTTCATCAATAAAATGTTTTTATTGCTAATGACTTACCCCTCTTCCTGGGATTTATTCAATATTTCCTGCTGGGAAGAAGCGTGCGTACGTGATGTTGCCTCGAAACGTTGATCCACTACTTCCTTCTCGGCAGGGTACTCTCAGCGCCACCGTACGGATATGTCTGCAACATCATCGAGAAAATGAATTTTCTACTGTACTAACAGAAGTCTATAAATGAACGCGAATAAATTTTTTCGCATACTATTTTTCTAAAATTCTTCGCAAAAAATAAATATCGTTACTAGAACATTCTTAGAAACGTGTCGTGTTAGGTTAGTTTTCATTACTTTCTTAAAGTACAACGTAAACTAATTTCTACATAAAACTTTAGTAGATTCTTATACTTTTTGTAGCAATTATTGTTTGTAAACAGATACTCTATTCCTACCCGCCGTTATCAACTAATTTATGAATATTAATAACTATTATTATCTACAAAAACGGCACATAACCTATCCACCTTGCTCCACTGTGCTCACCGTCAAGATCATGACTTACATATTCTCTCTGATTGATTGCGTTCTTCTGTCCCCTGAACACCTGGCTCTCACTTATGACACTTATTGCAAAATTAAACAACTTTTGATACAAAGTTTCACTTATTTTCCTATCAAATTAGCAACGTAAGCTTAACATAATTACTGCGCGCAATGAATTAAAATCTGCGCGGCAAAATGTCGTCAGTACACAGTACAGGCTGCGCCCACTATGATGAACTGACTGAATTAAGACGATGACAAGCATTCGATACTCGAATTATTACAAAAATGGCGCTCGCTGAAGTTTGCGGTCTAAATTCGTTTGTTGATTTTAATAATTCACGGGAAAAGAATTATTTTTCCCAAGATATCGAAACGTACAGCAAAAATTTCATTAACAATGCACTGTTAGCTGCACCACCTTATCTAGATGTAAGTGAATTGTATGAAACGATTTTAACCCTCATCATTGTCACTTTACATTTAAACTTGCTATATCATCTCATTGCTTTCTGTAAATTTAAAAATAATTTTATTTGTCTTTAGCCAGCAGAAAAGTTGGGCCAGTTTGCAGAAGGATCTGATGAGACAGGAAGACATCTGAAAATTAAATTTGATCATGGAACTACTACATTGGGTTTTCAGTACCAAGGTGGTATTATTCTTGCTGTTGACTCACGTGCAACAGGAGGTCAATTTATTGGTAAGTTTTAAATATAAATTCTTATGGTCTGAATTGAATTTAATGCAACTTATTTTATAGGTTCATCCACCATGAAGAAAATAGTAGAAATCAATGATTATCTCCTTGGAACTTTAGCTGGTGGTGCAGCTGATTGTGTCTATTGGGACCGTGTTCTAGCTAAACAATGTCGTACATATGAATTAAGAAATAGAGAGCGCATTTCTATTGCAGCAGCTAGTAAACTGCTGTCAAACATGGTGTACAATTACAAAGGAATGGGATTGAGTATGGGTATGATGCTTGCTGGATGGGACAAAAGAGGACCTGGTTTGTATTATGTTGATTCAGAAGGTGCTCGTACCCCAGGAAAAGTTTTCAGTGTAGGATCAGGATCAATTTATGCATTCGGTGCATTAGATTCTGGCTATAGTTGGAACTTGTCTGATGAAGAAGCATATGAACTTGGCAGAAGGTCTATTTATCATGCCACGCATAGAGATGCTTACTCTGGTGGTATTGTGAGAGGTACGTAATGATAAAAATAGAATTTGCACAGAATACTGCATGAACTAAAATTTCTGTTGCAGTTTATCACATGAAATCAACCGGTTGGGTGCACATTTCTGATGAGGATTGTAAAGATCTTCACTACATGTACCAAGAACAAAAGGCAAAAGGAGCTAACTAATAGCATTTATGATTTATTGTATTCTATTAAATGTTTTCTTTAATAAAATTGATTTCTAATGACAAAACATTATTTATTTATACTTACAAATATCGCACAACGGTAAACAGTATTCGAAGATATGATTTAATTGGTATCAGTGCAATCCAGTTTATGCTGTTTCACGAAAAATACAAAGAAATAGATAAGGAGAAAGGAATGCATCCGAAGCCAAACTCCCCACTGCTATCCCCCACTTATTACAGCGACGACCGCCATTGAATCAGTGTGATTGGTGTCGCAGTGCAACAAGCAATACGTATTATTTTGTAAAACAGCGGAATCGCAATTACGTTTTGGCTCATTGATTAACGTCTAGATGTCAAGTCCAGAAGAGTGTAAACTTAAGGGTGGACACCCTCCTGCAGGTAATAAAAGAAGTCGTGATTTCCGTTAACGGGGGAAGGTTAATATGTTTACATAGTTCGTCATGTGACGTCGTATCTTATCCACCTGTCCAGATATTTCAAGGCCATCTGATCATTTAAACTTTATTCGATTAAAAATGTACGTTTTATATTTTTCCTTCAGTAAAAGCGGGAGGAATGAGAATTATCCAACATAAAACACCGAAGGAGGATCGCGATGTAAAGCCCCTTAAGGATGCGGATGAAAGTAGACCGTCGACCAGGTAATCAGATATTTTTTTATCTACAACAAAGATAATTTTACATTTAAATTGGTCGAGTAAACTAAAATCTGCGGATAAAAAAAGAAGTCTCATTTATTTGTACCCTCGGTAAAGAAAACTTCTTGGCAAAAACGTAAGCGATCCTAAGGACACAGTAGCTATCTATAGACAATTTACTACTACGCAGTACGGTTCACAACATCTGCCATACTGTCGATAAACGTCACGATTCTTAATACGCACGTAATTGAAGTGATACTTTTAACAAAATGGACGCGTTTAACAAGAAAAACGATTCTTTTGCCGTATTAAAACATATGTAAAGATAATATTAATTAAATAATACGAAATATTTGCAATATAAGCAAAGTACTTATAAATGTGTATTGTGTTTCAGTCCACCTAAAACTTTGATGATTAGTGGATATCCTGCTAAGGGAAACGCAGATTTTCCACCAGAAGCTGTACAAGTTTTCCATGAGAAGCCAACACCGACTCATGATGCACGTCCATATCATTGTTCACGTCCAATTCATATCCAACAACCTAGGAAGTGAACAATACGCATACTCTCCAACAATGGGCTGCCAAAACAAGATACCAGTCCATATACTTATCGATTAAAAAAAATAAAAATACAAAAAAAAACAAATATGTATATGCAAGTGTACTCATAAGCTTCTGTGGGATACAATGATCAATAATTTTGTGTATCTACAGTCTTCTAAACATAGGATCAGTTTCCACGAAGCTACAGTTTCATATTAGATGAAACAAAGTACCTTGCAAGAGTTTATTACTGTTAAGACAAAAAAAAGATGTTTATTTTTAGTGCTGCGTCGCGTGATTCCTGTATCGACATTTAAACGAACAATTTATTGCGATTTTTCAAAGCATTGTTCGTTTATCCACGACTGTTAGATATAGTAGCACGCTTTTATCTCGATTTTGTTACTTTACGGCACTTTAAGGCACTTTATTATCCGCATTACTACCGTAGGGTATTCGTGATTATTGTCTTCGGGACCAGTATACATGTAGCGTTCCAAGAATACTTTATTATAATTTTTTGTTCAAATTGCATTTAGTTAAACCTATAGGCATTGTAGTAATTCCAATGATTCCTATGTAACAAACGATTTTTCATAGCGAAATGTCTTATAATACTTTGCAAGTGTAATTATTCAGCGTGTAAATGTCGAACGAGATTCATAACGTTAGCCACAGTTTGTATAACACCTGAGGGAAAGGAAATAAAAATGGAAAAAGACGTTCCTAATAGGAACTTCCTATACGTAAAAAAAACAAAATGTTTCAATCAGTATCTTTTTACTTCCGCTTATCCGCTATATGATCAGGCACTGTTGTTCAGTGTCACGGGAACATTGTCGTCATAGTAACTTGCACGAATTGTACAAACATAGCCACATTGATGTGTCAAAGGTTGAATGAGAAAACTGTTCGAGTGGAGCTTCCTTCCTGATGTGTAAAGATGTGAATACGTTACGGTCTGTACACGTCGTTTACGTTTGAAAATTTTTGTACAACTTAAACAATTCAGATCGACGTATCGAAGTTTCACCGTGTCCACGTTTTCTTGCCGCTATGTCGTCGAAAAACACCACCGAAAAGATCTTAGAAATCGACGCGCACGTCAGCAAACATTACGACATCGTTCGACGCCTCGGAAAGGGGGTAATTTTTTATTTAATATCATTTCTACAATTTCATATATTCTCTATGTCAAGATCACGGATTTATAAAACTGTTTAAGTTTTCTTCCCTGTAGAACGCTATTCATGTATTCAGTCATATTTGTTGCAATAACAATATGCGCTTCTATTAATGACAGTTTAAAATTCATTGCTCGATAATGCATTTATTTATGAAATTAGTATGTGCATATATATCCATATATAAAATATTTTTTTAAAAGTAAATTAAAATGACTATTACGAAATTAATGAACTTGAGCGTCTGTATCTATTAAAAATTCTACAAAATGTCGTCTTTTATGGGATATAACAAAGCGAACGTTCTAGAAAAAAGAATGCTATGCATATATACATAAAATTATCGATGACAGTCGTCGTGGTACCTGCATCGCGAAAAAGTATAACTAGAAAGCAATCGATACTTGACCGCTTAACATAATCATGACAACGAATGCCGGATACATACAACAGCGACGACAACCACGTGTACCCACTCCCACGTAACGACCTAACAAAGAACTTTAGCCGGTCATTAATAAAATCTATAAGAATCCGCGCACAAACATAAGATTTGTTTCGTAGGCTTACGGTATCGTTTGGAAGGCGATCGACAAGAAAAACAAGGAGACTGTTGCGATGAAGAAGATCTTCGACGCCTTCGGGAACCAAACTGACGCGCAGAGGACGTTTCGCGAGATAATGTTCCTATTATCGTTCGCCAATCACGAGAACATCATACGACTGATCGGTCTTCACAAGGCGAACAACGACCGGGACATATATCTGATATTCGAGTACATGGGTGAGTTTTACCCGGTTCGAAGAAGAATTTCACGACTGGTCACGTGCCGCGACGATTCTCAGACATTTGGCCTGAAACACGTTTCGGCCCGTTTCCCCAGAAACCGATCTTCACAACGTCATTAAGAAGGGCAACATCCTGAAGGACGTCCACAAGGTTTACATCATGTATCAGCTGTTTAAGGCGATCAAGTACATTCATTCGGGAAACGTGATACATCGGGACCTGAAGGTGAGACGATCGCTGTACACTTTCGTGCAACTGAAGCTTTTTTTAGAGGAGGGAATGACCCGGTGATTCATTTCGTTTGGTAGGATTTATTAGGAGGTTCTATGTTGGACTCCTAGTTTATTCTAAGATACCTCCCACGATGAAAAATAATTTTATCTTTTATTTTTTTTATTCCAAATACCTTTTGTCCTTCGCTCAGCTGTACTTAACCTGCGCGTCGATATTCCTTCTAGCCGTCGAACGTTCTGCTGAATGCACAGTGTCACTGCAAAATCGCTGATTTCGGATTAGCACGATCCGTCACACAGATAGGGGAAGGCGACGGTGAAACCGCCAGTGATCCTACCCTAACGGATTATGTGGCAACCCGCTGGTACCGTGCACCAGAAATACTCGTTGCTTCGAGGAGGTAATCCGTCGTTTCCAATGAAACTTTCAAGCCTGTGTTTAAACACAGTCTTAAGACGTTTACCGCTGCGATGATCGTTAATTGAAAGGATTAATATATTTAGAGGTTCGGTGTCTTTTCATCGCAGCAGTACGAACAAATTTTATTTGTACGATTCTTTGGCTATGTTGATCAGGTATACGAAGGGTATAGACATGTGGTCTTTGGGATGTATACTCGGCGAAATGCTTCTTGGAAAGCCACTTTTCCCCGGTTCTTCGACGATCAATCAGGTCGAAAGAATAATGGCCACACTTCCACCGCCCACGAAAGAAGGTAATTACTTTCGATGATATTTTTCACGACGATAGTAGCAAGTGGTCGAATTCTCTGGTTGGTAAATTATTTCAGATTTAATTTCGGTCTGCGCCGGTTACGGTACTAATTTATTAGAGAAGACTCCGTACGGGCCGAGACGTTCACTGAAGGATTTACTACCGGATGTGCCGAAAGAGGCGTTGAATCTTATAAGCAATCTGATAGTCTTCAATCCGAATCACAGATTAACAGCTGTCGAAGCGTTGGAGCATCTTTACGTGGCCAAGTGTGTATAATTTTGTGCGTAAGAACGAAGACAAGATTAATGGCCTCGATGATTCCTTCCTTCTTCCTAGTTTTCACAGAAGAAGCAACGAACCCGAACGCGGTTCCAACGTTGTTCCTCTGCTCAGAGACGATGTACAGCTTTCGGTCGACGAGTACAGGAATAAGCTTTATTCAATGATGGATGAGAAGCATCGCAAGCACAAAAATATGTGAGTCGATTTACGTTTACCCGATTCGTACACGATGGTTGATTTCATTCATCTAAAATTAATCTATTAACTGAACGAAATCAGGTCTAAGTCTAGAGTCAGACGACTCTCGGAGCACATCAGGAAGGAAACAGCCATTAGTAACAGTAGCCCAGTCATCGGTCAAGGTGACGTGACTGTTGGTAAAAATCTTGCGCACTCGTACCAGGATTTACGTAAAGACAGATGTAGAACTGATACGTACGAACCTTCGTGTTCAGAGGGTAAAATTAACAACGTTTATTATACGAGAGAGAACCGATACATTAATGACGACGATGATCCTGATCGTGACGCTGATGATAAACCGTTCTGGTGTTCTATCTCTTTTTTTCTATCAGTACGTACCCAGCTACCGAGCAGAAAGACGACACGGAACACGCAAATTGACAGCGGTGAAAGAACCACAAAGACAAGATCCATAAGCACCTGCATAGAGTCGCAGATGTCGAACACGAGGAATTTTCGATCAACCGGTGAAAATAGAATTGAATTTTTTTTAATTTTTCATAAAATTGTGTAAATCTACGGGAATCGACGACGTTAATAAAAAATTTCATCGTTTTCGACAGCAAAAACCGTGGCAACTCAATACACCTACAATCTGATGAACGGCGCTCCGAACAATCTGGCACCAAACACGACCAAGAGTTGTTTGTACATCAATCAACAACGACCATTATCGAAATCCCAGCGTTCTATTCAATCGGATCAAGTGACCGTGGTAAGTGAACCCAGAAATCGGTCGATTCAATTTCCCCATGTATTTATAAACTCGTCGTGCTCTTCCCATGAGAGTAAACGGACGATTCTATTCGTTACAGGCTACGTGTCGCGTGGGATTCATTTAGGTACTGTAATCATTTAATACGCGTCACAAACACGCAACGTTTCTATTTTTTACCGATAGACGATCGACGATATCGAGAAGGTTCTTTCCAGCGTAACATTAGTCTTTTCGAAATTTTCGCTATTTCAGTGCGCGCCCGGTGGAAAGTCGTGTCAGCCAGCGCAAGCTGGCCGAGTAAAGTTGCGGAGGAATTGCAAGCAGAACCGTGGACCGAACCGAGCCGCATCGAACGTGAACTGGAGAGAAGAGGATCGACAGAAAAGCACCATCCTTCACGACAGTCCCAAGAGTCTTCAAACGAAATATTTCTCGAGAACGTTGGACAATAATTGCGGTTATCTGAGAACCTGCAACAGTGGCAGTGACAAACGCACCGATAATCGTAACAACGACGAATCGCGTCATTCGGTGACGAAGAATCAAGTCGTTCAAAATTATCTAAATCAAACGATGCCGTCCCGTGTCAAAGGGCAAACGTCCCATCTCTATAGATCGAAGGATATCAATTACAGGACCATCTCGCAATGTGACGCTAGCAGTATTAAGAAACCCCAACAGACAGCTAATTTCCCGAATAACCGAACGAAAAACGCCGCTCCCGTATCCAGGTGCCAGAAACCAGTCACCGATGGGAATAACGAGAAAAAGTCCAAGCCTTTCTTAGACAGTTACACCCAAAGTCACGGTGTAATAACCGCGTCCATGTACAAGGAGCTAAGAAACGGGACTATAAGATGGTAAAATATCGTCAGGGTCGAGCTTCCGGTGAAAGAGAACCAGGAGAGTGGTGGCAGACTGCTAGAATTTACGACCATTGTAAGACGACAAATATTTTTATAGCGATTTTCTAAATCTTCTGAAATTATCGTCAATTTCTGATGTCAGTATTAAATGCACGAATGATCAGCTTTTATTTCTCTCTATGTCTACATCGTTAAGTGCGTTAGATCCCTAGCTCTTAGGATTCTTTTTCTCGGAAGCTATGATGCTATAACGTTCCTAAATAAATTTTACAAGAAATTATTGAAAAGAGAAAAAAATCACTGTGTACCGTGTAATCGGTGCGTTCTAATTCCGGCGGATGAAAGGAAACAGAAACCGGCCGAAGTTTCGTAAACGTATACGTAAGTAGCAAATGATAAACGACCGAGCAGGCAAGTGACTACTTTAAGCTCTTAGGTAAGAAGAAGCTTGCGAACTATATTGTTCTATAGGATAAGAATAAACAAAAAAAAACAACAAAAAACAGATAATGCCAGATGAAGATTCGTAAAACTCGCTCTCTGTAACTTCGTGTTCCTCTGAATAACGCGATGGAAATTGTATCGAAGAGAAGTTGAAATTGATAAGAAATATGGTGAAACGAAGGCAATCGATACACGGGGGCCAACGAGCGGTGCGTTATCATTTTCGTACGATAAGAGGAACCATCTGTCCTTAGCGATAGGCAAAGTTGCAATTTCTTTAATTGTACACTACTCGTCGACAAACGTAGCGTATAAATTTCTTTGTAATATACTTTTTTTGTGATACTTTTACGCGGCTAGGTGGTCCGTCCAATTCGTATGTATTACCTTGTCGTCGTGGAATAAATTTTTACCAAAGCAGTATCGGCCGTTCGTTTTCCTGTCGGTTCGCGATCAAAAAGAATCGTAAAGAGATTGCCTGCTGCAGCGACGAGAGTTCATCCTCTGCGGGGCCAACCCTATTTTCATTTTTCCATTCCGTGAAACGATTTCTTCCTCGTCGATGTCATCCTTTTTTCCTCGCTGCGTTTCAGACGGGTATTTCAACTATTTTCGTGACAAGATTTCCGTAAGTACGTAACTATGCGAAGTTCCAAGAAAGTTTCAGACTCTTTGCACGCATTTTAAGCCTGGTTATCAAGCTTCCTCTAAATTGTCACGAATCTTATCATCCTTCTCAACGAGCTTCTTAGCGAAATAACATGGATCGATATAAAGCGCTTTTTATAAATATACCCCGATACTTTTCTGTTCCCAGCGTATCGTGCGCAATCTATTTCGAGGGTCGGCAAATATTCAAGGGAGTATCGGAGTACCAAGGCTCGCCCTTGTCGCTTTAACACACCCTTCTCAATTTGATCAACTTCCATTCAGAAAAGTTTCTTAGATCTGTCAGGTTTCAAGGAAAAAAAAATGAATCCAACCATTTCTTCCGTTTCAAAAATCAATTAAAACTTTGGTTGATATCTTTGATTCCTGAACTGACTGGGAAAATATTTTTATCGAGACTATTTCAATTCAAATTTAATCGAATTTAATTGAATTGCTCGACGTCAAATGAGAGCGAACAGGTTTACCGAAGTAGAGCAAATATTTGCAAACGATTGACGTTCGTTCAGTCTCGTTGCAGTTGCATCCCTTTTGCAATATTTTTTTTTTTATCAGTTTTAATACCAGGAATTATTTCGAAGGGAAGTTAGAAGGAACTGAGTGCGAAAGACACGCGGTAAACAGTGTCGTTGGAGTATAAGTGCTCCTCGCTGTGTCAACACTCTCCTTTGAAACGGTAGCCCTGCTTGTCTCTTAACAAACTTACCCCTCCGTTCTGTACATCGTTAACAACAACCCGTGCCTTTCTTCTTTCGTTCATCATTCATGTAGCGCAGTTTCTCGTAAAAGAACTACCAAAAATGACACGATATTTGTACCAAAAAATCCCTCGTTCCGTTCAGCAATTCTGCAATAATTTCGTATCAAATTTTCAATATCTCAAAGTCAATCAATCAAAGTTTCCCTGCTTCGTCGCAAGAATAAATAATGAAAAAATACTTCGATTAGGATAAAATTTATTCACGTTTGCCCCGAGACTCGTTTCTCCATTCATCTTTTCATCGATTACTATCAACACTCCAAAATTCCTCAACGTCTACAACTGTTGGATCACTGGTTAAGTAATCGATGGTATTTAAGTGCAACGTTGTTCGTCTGTAGTAACGAGGGTATTAACACGTGGTTGACTAATAGTCACGTTCTTCTCGCAGCAGGTTTCCTGTCGTTTGTTCGAGTTCTGCGCCTGGCCCGTCGGTGTTTGCGGTCTCCCTCGAAGGCTTCGCAGCATATAGCAACGTCTGTGAGGGCTGTGTCTGCTGTAGAAGCTGTCGTATCCGCTGCTCGTCGTGGCTGTTCGTTTCACCGCCAACACGGAGTGATGAGCACCGATCGGTAGCCCGCATCCGCATCCGGGTAACATTCTTCGTTTTCGTAGCAATCCTCGTCTCACGGTGCCACCAGCGCTGCACCCTGCGCAGACGTCATCGATCACCCCCGTTCCTTGAACACTCTGAAACAGCACGCGAGAAACGCTGGAGGATATGAAACATCTTTTACGATTATTGCTTTCTCTTTTACGAAATGTTCCTATTCTCTGGAATATATCTCTGACGGAGATACAATAAAGGGTAGAAATATACACGGTGAATAGAGTCTGCATTTCGAAGTAAAGGTTGAAAATTCTAATTTATTTATTTATTTCAGGATGGAGTAAACATTGCGCAAGAATTTTCTATTTCTTCGAGACTTTCATATTAAACCAACCGTTTCGGACCGATGTGTTTGCTTTTCTACCGAGAAATATAACCATTTTATTATTACCAACTCGGACCACATAAACTGTCCGGGTAAATAATACTTGTGCCACGTGCTGACTATAATTTCACGATCTTTCGCTGAGAATTCACATGGGGGTTGATGAAATCGCGATACTCACCGGGTGACGTCTGCTCGTAAATAGTCTCTCGTAGGGTGTCATATAAATTCCACGGATAAGCAGATGATAGAAGGATTCCTTGTGTTCGAAATAATTGTGATAACAAGGTCGATGCTCGTACCGTAGATTTTCTATGATTTTTTTCATTTTTACAAAAGCGCATAAAATATCAAAGAGCGCTCGACACCCTCGATCGCAACGCGAAACTCTCTTTTTTCTTTAACAACACGTCAAGTTTTCAGCCGTTTGACTGGCACGAGTGGTAAAATTAAACGCTAAAAATAAATATAAAAAAAAATACACTATCCAATCGGTCTCGATTTTCCGTTGTCGCGGCGTTTGTTCAAAGGACCGTTGGTTTTCGTTTTAATAGTCGCGGCGAATATTGAGTTACACCACTGTGGAAACGAAACCCCAGCCCTTCGAATGACAATATCGTTGGATCAATGCAAACCTTTATCCTCAATTTACCCCGTTCATCTGATACAAAATTTCGTCGCAAACGAATTCATATAACTTTCGATATACGTTCGAATTTTTCGTTCATATATCTCTCTGAACAAGTGTCGCGCAATGGGGTGAAAAATTGGTTCTTCGAATGCTGCAGACGCAGCGACGCGCAGAATGGCACGCTATTGACACTTACTCTTCGACGAGGTCTTCTACGTGCCAAGCCACGGGAACCGCGACAAACAATCTCCACCACGCTTCGTCGAAAATTCCGAGTCATGAAGCAGTAGACAATAGGATTCAAGGCGCTGTTCGCGTGTCCCAGAAACAGGCAATAGGATAGAGCATTGGTCGTAACCGTTCCTTCTCCTGAAACAGTTTCATCGCTTTATCGTCCAACGGACAAAGTAACGCGCGCAATCATGCCCTTTCGCAGGTAATTTAATGAAGAAACTTTCGATTGCCCGTCGGAATGAACTCTCGTCGAACGTCTGCCTCGTTTCTCGCGAAAGGAAGGAATATCGCTACCGAGTTGCCACGGTATACAAGGGTATTCGATTAAAACCGGTGTGCGGTAACCGAACCCACCACTCACCGATTGCTCCGAGATCGATTAACAGCATTAAAACATTGTACGGCAGCCAGCAGAGAGCGAAAAGCACCGCCAGTAGGAGCAATATCCAGGCAATTCGACGTCGCTCCCGTACCAGCCTGAAACTCTGCGAACAGAATACAGGTGAGCTATTATAAACCTGGATGGATTTGGGTTAATTACGATTCCATTTGATCCTCGTTCACCTGGATTGATGAAGATTTTGATTTCCTGGGGGTAGAAAGAAGATTAGGACAGAGAAGTTTGTTGATGGAGAATTATTATGTTACATGGAAGTTTATGTAAATATGTAACCCACGCAACTATGGTTGAATGGGCTTTAACGAAGCAAAGTTGGAGAATTGAATCTTTGGGCTGGATTTGATTTAATTAAATTATACTACTTTGTCCTACTCATAAAATTAATTTCCATTTCATAGAAATTTTGATAAAATTTATTATCAAGTTCCATCAGAAAACAACCATTTTCAAATATTCGACCAACCTGTTGCGAGCTGGCACTTCCTTCGACGCTGTCGCAATCGAAGGGCGGTTTCCTGGAGCAGAGCGTTCGACCCATCATCGAGTAAGAGAGTATCACGACGAAACCTAGAGGAAGAAAGCGATAGAAATAAAATAAAATAGATCGGGGTAAAATGATTGATCTTTCCCCGAAAGAAATATCGGTTACTTTCTTGAGGGACGGATGGAAGCGAACGTGTTAAAGTTAGGCACCCTATTACTCATAGCCTTACCGGGAATGGCATAAACCAAGACGAAACAGACGGCGCCGAAAAGATGTGCTCTAATACCAAGAGGCTTGAAGTCCTCCGAACAAATGTAGAACGCAGGTGGCCGTTGTGACACGCGAGAGATATCCTCGGTAAAATTCCTCGACATTGTCCACGATCCGTAGAAAGTAATGTTGCTAAGTTCCATGCCCGGGCTCTGGAGGGTCATCTGAAAGAGAGATTGGAAAACAACCGTCCGTCGATCTATCTTTGGGAAACCGAGGCGATAACGTCTGTTCGTAACGAAGTTTCTTTCTTTCTTTTCAAGTTTCCAGTGGAACGTTTTATTATATCACTTTCTGTCTTCTCTGCCAGCTGGAACTTTGTCCAAAGTAATTGGGGATAATCTGATGCAATAGGACACTTTTAGGATTGACGAAAGCAAACTCCTCGGTTTCCCATTTTTTTTACCACGTACCAACTGTTCAAAGTATACAATGGCATTGATTGCTCATTGCGTAATTCTCTATTCTCGAAATGCTTGACACTTATAGGACTGACAGCGTTTCTTTTTATTACTTAGCGTAAAAGAAGTTTTGACAGTCATAATATTGCAGAAATAATAAACGAAGAGGGAGCTTCGAGAAAGGAGGCTTATAAAAACTCGATGCCATTCTTCTGCAATGAGAAGTGGGAAATTTGTTGGAAAATAGATGAAAAATGATTTGGAAGATTCATCGTTGTGATTATTAATCGATATTTCTTGAGAAATAAATTCTTATGACAGGAAGAATATTTATTTTTCAAGAAGACAACGATGTCTGATAATTATCAGTGTGTTTCAATTGCAAAAGTTTAATTCGATTCGGATTTCGCTTTTAACAAGTAACTGATAAAAAGAAGAATACGACGAAGCGAAACGACAACAAAGGTATCGATGAAACCCTGTCATGATACCATTTCTCATCGTTAACAACCTTTGAACAGTACTTCGTATGGAATAAAAGCATTTTAAAAAAAAAAAGAGAGAGAGAAAAAAAATGAAATCCACGCAGGATTTTATACTGACCGCCCTTAAAACGGGAGCAAATATAATTAACGCCACCAGCCAAAGAGCCACGATAACGAAGATCGTGCTCTTACGATTAAATACACGACGAAACGCCATAGGACTTCTTATCGCCAGGTATCTATCGATGCTCATCGCTGTGATCGTGAAAACCGAGGCCGCCACGGCAACACCTATGAACAAACAATTTTTAATTTATCGACCGGCCAAAATTATTTTTTAAATAAATCTCCCGAAAAGAATAGTTTTCCAATCTCGATCCCTCGAGGAGCTTAAAGCAATAGAACACCGTTTTTTTCTTTTTCTCGTTTCTTCTTTCGTGACTTTCAACCACCCCCTTGAAAGAAATGGGCGAACAATAGTTCTTTTCTCGTTTTTTTTTTCGCTAGCTAAATGTTATTGTTGGCTATTGAATAAATTAGACATCCACCTCGAGGTGCTCGAACGTGGGAAGGAAGGTCGCATTAAGTAAAAAAAGAAAAAACTAATCGACACCAGGGTCGTCGAGGGAAACGGAAGTGCATGTACGTGTGCATGCATAGACGCATACAACCGCGCGGATCTTTTATGTATGAGCCAGACTGACTCTCGCCCACGATGCTCACCGGCCCATGAGTTATGTCGCGGCAATTCGTGACGGTGATATTTCATTTTCATTTAATTTGTCTGTCACATTTTCATCGGGGAAGAGTGTAAATATCGCCGAGAGAACCGTGCGATTCTTATTCAAAGGAAAAAGCAATTCTGGAAGGATTTCATTAACCTTGCAGACAGCTTCTATCGATGTTAAGTATTTTTATACAATCGATCAGAATTCTGTTTAATTACCCTGAAGATAGGACGATAGCTTGCACATAACTTCCCCATGGATCCATACTATGGAAATTGCTTGACTGACAGCCACTGGCATGCAAATAGTGGTAACCAGTAGATCCGCCACCGACAGGTTGACCACGAAGTAATTAGTGACACTGTGAACAAAAGGGTTACGGTTTGTCAAACATTGCCAATCGCCTGATTTCGCGACATCTGGGTACATCAAACACTTTCGATATTAGAATCATCCGAGGTTCCATATTTTCAATATTCCAAGTATTCGAATAAAAATTTTTCATTCCTCGAACATTTTTGCAAAATTAAATCAAAATTCTCATTCGCGAGCCTGAACTTTATGCATAAGAGAGAGAAAGAGAGCAATAACTTTTCCTCGCCAAATAAACTTGTAACGGGCCAATCGTGACGTTCGTTCATGTATCACGAAAACGAACCGATCGCTTATTTGCACGACGCTTCTTCGCTGTCGGAAATAAGCACACGGCTAACCATTTCATAGTCTAATGGCTGAGAACGTTCAAGGTGCATTCTTCTTCCGGTAGGAACATGAAACGCGATGCAGGAAAACGTGGGAACTTATCAAATTCATTGGTGCCTCTTTATGGTCCGCGCTTTGGATAATGCATACATTTCATTTATTTATAAAAAGAGGATGTTAAAAAGGGCTTAAATTTTCAAATGGAATAAATTTGCAAATTTGTATAAATAAATGTGTAAAAATAAAAACAGGGAAATAAATACCCATTACTGCTAATACCAGAAATTTCTAACAATCATCCATTTGTTTATAATTAAATCCTGAATTCTTGCTTATAATACCTTGCATATTCAATAAACGCGATAATCTTCTATGTTTATATCGGATACTTTCTATCAGTGAATTCAATTTGTGCTCCATTGTTTACCAGCCGGTTGCATACGCGTTGTTTCCATCTTCCTCACGCATTCACACGCTTTTATCACTCATTAAACGTGTCCCATCTGTGCCACCCTGATCGTACATCTGCAGTTTATCAATAATCTATGATGAATCATAATTAACACCTATCTCTATCTCTCTCTTGAGCAATATTCCTGAGTTCTTTAGAACGAAACTAGGTCGAGGAAATGCGCTTGTCCAGGGGCAGAGCAAGATATACAAGAGTTGCCAACGAGGTGCTAAGTAGTCGAGAATGTAAATGAATTGCCGGCAACCTGATAAAAACTCGCCCGTTGCGGCTCGTTTTTTTATCTAACGTTCATTTCGCTAATTTTCGAGCTAATGTTAAACACGCTACGAGCATCAAAAATTTAAATATTGATTTTGGGCCCATTGATGATCGACATTTTTAATTTTGTATTATTTAATTATAAGAAAGGTAAAGTTTGAATAATTTTAATAAAAACGTAATAATAATGTAAGAGAGTCGAAGCGAAAATTTGTGTGAACCTTGATCTTTCCGAGGTAATTTCTCAATTTTAAAAAGAAGCCCTGCCCAAACTTAATTAACTATATCAAGATTGATTCTAAAAGCAATATCCTGATGGCAAACCGACAGCCGCGATAGGGATGACGACCTCCCTAATCAAGCACCCATACAAGACCGTTTTAATCCAACTATCACACCGTACATTAGTTAAATTTCCCTTCTACAAGTTTAAATTACTTCAAAGTTACCCGCTGTATATTATTGCGCCTGCTCCTTGAAGCTGTTTTTCCATGCTAATCTTCAAGTACGAAGATTCGAATTTTTTCTCTGACAGGAATGTCAACACGTTGGTATCGTTAATTATTCAATAGCTTGTTTAATAACGACGGTCAACGTGAAACTTTTGCCTAAAACGGGAATTGAATCAATCGAGTGAAATAACATTTTGTTTACTCGACGAGAGATGAAATATTTGTCTATTTAGTGTATGTACATACATGGTAATGCGAATGAAATTATTTTCTTTACTTTGCAAATACAAATACAAATTTGGAAAAGATTTTATTTTCAAATGTAATTATAAAGGCTTTGTAATATTAGGGGTTGTGCAAGGGGTGTTAATTTCTATTTTTAGAAAATTAAAAAATAATTTTGGAAAAGATTTTATTATGAAATGTAATTATAAAGGCTTGATAATATTAAGGGGTGTTAATTTCTATTTTTAGAAAATTAAAAAATAATTTTGGAAAAGATTTTATTATGAAATGTAATTATAAAGACTTAATAATATTAAGGGGTGTTAATTTCTATTTTTACAAAATTAAAAAATAATTTTGGAAAAGATTTTATTATGAAATGTAATTATAAAGGCTTGATTTAAGGGCTACGCAAGGGGCGTTAATTTCTATTTTAGAAAATTAAAAATTAATTGTCGAAAATTATATTAAAATAATTGTACTTTTTACCTGCGCATGTAATGGTACTTGAACACCACCGCGATGACGAGGGTATTGGCCGTGACTGCGAGTGCTATCACAGGTACGTACAAGATGATCAACAAGTAATTGGTCTCGCTGTGGAATTTGTCGTAAAAGTACCAAAGTATATCTCCAGTGATATCCATCTTGAAGGTTTCGTTCAGAAACGTCGTTCCGTTGTACGAGTTGTTAAAGCTCGACAAGGATGTTGTCGATACCATTCTCTCAGACGTCTTCTACACTCGTTTCATAAAACGTTATACCTTCCTTTGACAATATTAGTCGACTTTCGGTGATTTTTCTTCTTTATGCCCTCCTTTATCCTACTTTTCATCAGTCCTTCGATCGTTGAATAGAAAACATCAGCTTCCGGTTATTTCGTGGATCAAACGGAAGGGTGTATAATTTTTAATTAACCACGAAATTTATCTTAACAAGGGATGCCTAAGTTTTCCTCACTTAGAAATGATCGATCTTCTTAATTACAGATCGTTAATCGTCGCGCGGCATCACCGAAAGATACCCAAACGTTTATTAAGTCAATTTGAAAACACTTCCGTCGTTAATTTTCGATATGGACAGATCGGAGGCGACTGTAAACGACACTGTCCAATTTATCGTTGACATTTCCCCTAAAATATTCCCATCGATCGATCCCATTACTGGCTTATCAATCAGGCAGACCCAACGAGATTATCGACGCTTCGCTTTAATCGTTTCAGGCTAATTGAATTCGCGAAATCTTGAATCAAGAGAGTAGTTGATAACCATCGAACAGTCATCGATCGAATCAACTTCGCGTTAACGAAGTGGGAGGAGATTTCCTGATGTTCTTTCCCTATTTTGATTTTCTTTTTTCATCCACGTTGCGTCATCCCTTTTGCTGTATTTTTTTTTTTTTTCCAAGCTGTCAGTAACAGATCAGGTCGTTTAAATGCCAGTTCGCATACAGTCGCGTCCTGTCTGTTTGTATCACGAAGTCATTGCGTTCTACATTCCATCTACATTCAAACAGTTTTATATTGTTCAACCAAGATGAAACCTTATTCATAATTCAAAGTGAAAAATCAATATATTTTATGAACAGAAGTTTCTCCGCGTTGAAAAGTGAAACTGTGTTTAATATTCTTGGAAGAAGACAAACGATATTCGCAGGAACCGACGGTATGCAAACAGAGACTGCAGTATTTATTAAAGAAAGTGCACGAATACCTCTTCCGTGGTATTCACAGAAACCTGTGAGAAGTTTTCATCACTGTTCAAGATTTGAAATCAGAAAAGAATTCTTCGAGTGCCTCGGTCGGGATATACCTGGGCTAATTTATTTTCCATCCTCTATTTATTTTTAACTTCAACGTCAGTTGTTCTAAGGCTAAGCACTCGCCACAATTTTGAACAAACTTTAAATCTCCTCTTTTCATTATACTTGATCTAATTTCAGTCTTGCCGGCTTTCCAATTCGATTATCCCTCGATTAATCTTGATCGAAACTCACGGTCGAATCGATTTCCCGCCGCGGATGATAAGCGCGAGAAGTTTCGGAAGCGGTGCCACGGTAAACTGAATAGAAGAATCCCGCCGGAGGTTCTTCTCGCCGCTCGCGCACCTTCCTTCAATCGCGCCTGCGTTCTCCTCTCTAACCCTCTTCCTTCCTGTATCGGAGGTGTTTTATTCACCACCTCTGTCGCTTGTATTTGAAAAAAGCCTCGATCCGACTTGATCCCACCATCCATAACGACTGACGGACGTTATCGGGGGAACCTTGCCGAAACATCAACTTTTCTTCTCTTCCTTTTACACAATTAGTTGACACCAAAACTTTATCTCCTGTTATACATTACAAGATTTTCATTCTAAAATTAACGATCGAAATCATTCTTGTTTTTAGCAATCTTTCAATCTTCAAATTTTAGCCTTCTTGATTTCATTTTATAAATATAAAGGGAAAGTTGTAGGATTCGACGCGTCTTATAAATACGATTGAATTGCAAAAGAAATTCGCCGGGATTTCGTACATTTCTTCGAACAGACGTGCTATATATTTCTCATCCCTCTTCGCAGAGTTGCGAACCTTTCTTCGCTCTGATCGTTTCTTGTCTCCTGTAAGTGACAAATGCGATTTACCGAAAACCCCGAGGTGGTGCGGTAGCCCTAAACAGATTACAAATGACTCGTTCCCGAACTCTTATATCGCGCTGCTTTTATCTACTGCTTTCCACCTTCTATCAGATAAAGGGACGAACCTCATCAGAGGGTGGTTGAACAACACTTGAATATACATCCCAAAGTACGTATTTTAGCACTCATTGATACCTCGTTCTTCTTTCATGACGAAGATCAATCAAAAAAAAAAATTCATCCCCACGTTTCGATAAACAAATAAATTCGAAACGCTTTTTCCTCTTTACAGAATTTTTAATAGCATCCTTCGAAGAAAATAAACAAATTAAAGACAATCATCCAGGTCACTGATCAGCAGATATTAATTGCCAACCCCCTTTGCCCGCATCATTTTTCTCTGACGAACAATTTGAAAATAAACAAAGCCATGCACCTTCGAAACCTGGAAGTATGCTTTCATCCCCTGTCTATTATACCACGTAGGAACCGATGGCGAAGAGTAAGGGCGCGGAAGGATGAACGAAAGAGGAGAGTATCGCTTCATTAAGAGCACGGTTCGTGAAATAGGGAGGGTGCAATTGATTTAAAGCAATTAATTTTCGATGAGAACAAAGAACCACGACAAGAGCAGATAATAATGACGATCGTGGGAAGACGTAGCGAGAACGTGACTCCTCTACCTATTAATTGATTTTCTAAGCTGAGGAAAATGTTCATCTTCTTGGTCTTAAGATGCTTGAACAATGATTGCTTGCACCTGTTGATTTCCTTCCATCAGAATACAGAGATTAAGAACAATCTTGCAAACACGATTCTTCAATTCTCTCTTTTAATAAAAAAAAAATAGAAGATTCGATTGAATGTTTATTCAAACAACTCGTTTAAAATACAGTTTAATTTTAAAGAAATATATTGCTATTATTGAAAAATAATTGAGGTTGTTTATTGATAAATTGAATTTTCAATTTTACGCGCAACGTTTAAGATATAACACGTGTAAGTTTACGGGAGACGAGCATTAATGATAATAAGCAAAGGTTCCGATGAAATAGAGAAATTCGTAGTGCACAAGATCACCGGTTGTGTAACATTACAGACGTAAAATAGATGAAAATAGCGAACGATCAACCATAGCGCGGAAAACGATTTCAACAGAACGATACTTGCTGCATTTTGTAAATAAATATATGCTTCTTTGGAGTTGTTTACTTGGGAAATAAACTTGCCTAGATAAAATCGCAGTATTACAGAGTTAAGGAAATAGCAATGATTATATCGTTAAATCAGAAATTTCGTTTCTCGATTATTAGAAAAAGTATAATTTAAAGATGAAAGATAAAATTTTGGCTTCATTTAATTTCATTATGGAGTATATACAAAATGTTTCTGACTAGGTGACAAAAGGGGAAAGAGGACGAATTTATATAAAAAAGTGAATCGGAAATGTGAAGTGACATTTTTTCGTTAAAGGCTTCATTTTTGAATAAATCGATGTTGAAGATTAATTAAAATTTTTAAAAAACATTCTGGGTATAAAGAAAGCAGTGATGTAAGGGATGCAGGGATATAAGAGAGCAGGAGTATAAGGGATTGAATAACTAAAATGATAGTAAAATTTAAATCAATTAAATAAATAACTGAGAAAAGAAATTACCGATTGTGCTCTCTGCATGCAGACTTATTTCCGTCTGGGGGTGGCTGAGATCCCACAAATCATGAATCCTCGAAAACAATAGCATGTCTAATCTTTTATATCTATAGTCACTAGTGCTGAAAACGAGCTTTTTGAATTTGCCGGTAGAGAGCGCAAAAGATATATCGATTTATAGTTCTTCCGTTTAACGCCAGGTGACGTAAGTGTAAAATCCCGTGTGGCGGCCGTTGTTGATAAGGAAGATTGCAGCTGATGTCGAATTTTCACCGCCACCTTTTCATGACTATGTTTATTGTTAATTTATTATTTAAAAAACAAATTGGAATAACTTTTGTAACTATTCATTCCTCAAAGATCAATTCAAGCAAAAAGACGTATCCTCCTTTATATCAATATTTCCAAATATATATTTTCACAATTTAAGCATTAACCATTCATTTTAAATATGTAATAAGTTCTTCCACACCCGCCAAATTATTTGAAATTTCATATATGTACAGTACTGAGCATATAGTAAATATATAGATTTTCTCAAGGAAAATGGTGATCTCCTTTCCCCTCAGACTTCTGCAATAATGAAACCAACCGTGCTCGATACTTAATGAGAAGAAGGTTACGCATACAATTAACTCTGACATTGACTATACCTTGCGACTATTGGAGTATAAATTGATCCTACCAGTTGCCTTTGCACACGCAACAGTGTCATATTACAATTATTATATATTTACTATATTATTTACACAAAGATAACATAAATACTCGAGTAAGTGCAATAATAGTTTGTAAATATGAATGGTAGAACGCGGAACGTTCGACTTTCGAGTGGCTATGTTATGCCTCTTATTGGATGTAAGATTATTAAAAAAAATAAGATACAATATTTATTTCTTACTTTTAAAGATTTGTTTAATTTATATTCATTATTATGTAACATTTACCATAAATTATAAAGTATTAAATAATTTTTCTTTCAGTTGGAACATATAAGATTCAAGGGAGAGAGACAATATGTGATGTTGTTGATGAAAGTTTGAAAGTAGGTTTTCGTTCTATTGGTACGTATACAAGTATAGAATATTTACTGATATTTGCAAATACAGTTTTAAATATATTTTTCATAATTCTGTTTATTATACACAGATACAGCTGTAGTTTATCATAATGAAGAGGATATTGGTTATGCTTTAACGCTGCTATTACCAAAATACAATCTTGAAAGAAGTGATATTTTTATAACAACTAAACTCTCGCCAAGAGATCATGGAAATCCAGAAAGAATAGAAGAATCTGTACAGAGGTCTCTTAAAGCGCTTAATACCACATACATTGATCTGTATTTGATTCATTGGCCAGCTGCTTCCCGTATACCAGAGACTTCCACAGATAACTCCAGCTTAAGAGCAAAAACTTGGAGAACATTAGTAGATTTGAAAAAGCAAGGATTCATAAGATCTGTAGGTGTATCTAACTATACTGTAAGGCACTTGGAAGAGTTGTTACATGACCGTAAGGGTATAGCACCAGCTGTTAATCAAGTAAGATTAACCCTGTGCTAATTAAATATCTTCATTTACATTGGTTATAAAGTTAAGTATGTTTGTTTTTATAGGTTGAATGCCATCCTCATTTTCGCCAAGAAGAACTAATCGCATATTGCAATGAAAAGGGCGTTCATGTGCAAGCTTATTCTTCTTTAGGAACTAGTAGCAATACTAGTCTTTTAACAGATCCAACTGTTACGAAAATAGCTTCTCAGCTTGATGTAACTCCGGCGCAGTTGTTGTTAAAATGGGCCTTGGAACAGGGGATTGGTAAAAAATTTATTCTTTTAATGTACCTATATTGTAATTGTGTACTATTTATGAATATTCTTTTAGGAGTTATTCCCAAGGCAGTACAAAAAGAGCACATAAGAAACAATATGCAGTTGGATTTTATGATTGATGAAGAAAATATGAATGCTTTATCTTCTCTGCCTCAGTGTAAATATACTTGGGATCCTTCTAATGTTTATTAAATAAACAAAGCAATAAATAATTTAAACTAATTTAAAGACATTAGTGATTTAATGATATGTATTTTATATTATATCATAATAGCATGGAAGATTTTGCAGATCAAGTTGCACAACTTTGTATAGAAAAATATGCAAAGCTTAGTAAAACTGGTAAACCAACGGAAAAAGAATGGACTGTATTGTCGGGTATCGTATTAAAGAAACACGATGATTCGTTGTCTTTAGTAGCTCTTGCTACGGGAACAAAATGTTTAGGGAAAATAGATTTAATAAATACAGAAATATACAAAGAAGGTTGTAGATTACACGATTCTCACGCTGAAGTTCTTTCTAGACGTGCCTTTTTAAGATACTTGTATAACCAGATCGATTTGTTAGTTGATGGTATTGAAAGTGATGTTTTCGAAATGGATGATGAAAACAAAATTAAATTACAAAGTGGAATATCATTCCATTTCTTCACAAGTCAAACACCTTGTGGAGATTGTTCCATATTTTTGAAAGAGTCCTGTGACAATAACCCACCTCCAACAAAAATTAGAAAAGAGGAGCACATAATCAAAGATGTATATAGAACTGGTGCAAAATGTGTTAAATCTGAAAAATACCACGATCCTTACCTACCAGGAGTGAACTATCATGTAGTTGGACCATTACGCACTAAACCCGGAAGGGGAAATCCTACTCTCAGCTTGTCTTGTTCAGATAAAATAGCAAAGTAAATACAAATGCTACAATCCGTTTCTGATACGTACGATACTTCAACCGATCATTATAATTATATTTTGTGTATGGATTACAGATGGAATATTGTGGGATTACAGGGCTCACTTTTATCAATATTAATACCTACAATAAAAATAGATACCGTTGTAGTTGGAGGTAGCTGTCCTTTCTCTTTAGAGGCAATGGAACGTGGATTGTATAAACGGTTCAATAAAGAATTATATGAATTAAAAATTGTGCAAAGCAATATCTCTTTTAAAGAGCAGAAAAATTATGAAAGAACACATCCGTGCCCATCAAGTATAATATGGTGTGCTGTCAAAAATCGGTAAATTTTTTACTTTATACGTATAATTATATTTTTTCAAATCATATTTACATAATTAAATTTACAGTGATACGGAAATAGCAATTGAAGGCAGAAAACAAGGTGCCACTAAAAAGAAGAAAGGTAACTATTTACTTGTAACAAAACGAGCATTGTTTGAAACGTTCTTACGAGTTTATGATAAGTATCATAACTTTGAGTGCAATATAAAACATCCTAAAAAAATCACCTATTTAGATTGTAAAAAGTGGTCCAAAAATTATCACAATTTATGGACCACTTTAAAGTCAAATATTTTCCACGCATGGCCTTCTAAACCAATTCACTTACAAACATTTGTATTATAAAATTTACGGTCTTACGGGGGTTGATTTAATTACGATTTAAATCGTAGTTAGAAATTTTATCATTTATTCGTTGGAATTACAAAACTATTATATATAATAAAAATATAAATACTTTGATTTTATAATATCCGCCTGCTTATGTTTGTATAGCCCACGCCTACACAAGTTAAAACAACTTGATCTAATACTTCATCTTCTTCTTTAAGCGGCTCAATTTTAAAGACGATTCCAAAGAAATCCCGTAAATCGCGTAAAAACTGTATCCTATAGAAACAATGTTTTTTTTAGATTTAACATTTGGGCTAATCTTTTTTTCGATACTTACATTGATGGTGTTAAAGGTCCTGTTACAACTTTAGACACATCCTTTTTACCTAATGCCATAAACATAGCAGTCATGGGTTGGAAAGGTGAATCCACGCATCCATTTCTGAAATTATATAAGTTTATGTTACACTTCAATTGCATTATGCATGTCTTTCATTTATTTTATATACCTATAAATTTCGTCAATCAGCTTCATAGCTGCTTCTTTACCAAGATCTTCTGGTACACAAGGTAAAGAACCTGTGGTCATGTGAGGTGAACATGCTTCTCCACCAAAAAAGACTTCATTTGTTGTTTCAGCTGATAAACTTATTCCAAAACCTGGTATATTTGTAATTATTTTAAATATTTAATTCATACAATAAGTTAAGTATAATGATATTAAATGTATACCTGGAGATTTGCCACTAGCTGCACCTCTACAATGATCTGCATAGATATAGACATCTGGCAGGAACTTTAATAATACACCTTTGGCAGATTCTATAATTCTGTTAGCAATAGCAGGAGAAACACGTATACTACATGCAGTACCTCTTATTCTTTTGACCATTCCACTATCATGAAGCTATAAACAAATTTTTCTATGTAAAGCTATAACTATTATTAGTAAAAATTTATACAAACTGATTAAAACTAACTTGAATAGTCCTAAGATTACGGCTAGCAGGGCATTTGAAATGAATTTCTCCACCTCCCAGTGGTGCTGCTCCTCTTTTTTTAATAGTAAGGACAACTTCATTGTCTCCCAATAAAAATCTTTTTAATATAGGTACACCAATTGCTTTAATTCGATCAACAGAGGGATCTGAAAAATTTCAAATGAGGTTTAACAATATTCAAACTTGACTTCCTGTTGTATCATTGTTTTTACATACCTATTGTGTTATTAGTGATTCCTCTAAGTTTTACTTCAACTGCTTTTTTACAAAATGGAGCTAATATCATGATCCCTTCTAAATAATATCCAATACCTCTTTGTAAGCTACAATCATGTTCCAAATCTCCTCCATTTAATAAACCAGGACTATAATATAAATTAGTTCCTGTTTCATTTAGCTCTATCCTTGATCCATTTGTAATTTTATCCAATAAGCGTATAAAGCTGACTTCATATTCTTATATATAAACATATACAAAGAATAAATTACATTTTATTTATTGTTACATCTGAAATACTTAAGTACTCTTTAAGAAATGTGCATTTGAACTAACCTCGAAGTCCGGGATTATCATCTTTGATTCTAATATCTGTTATTTGCACCGGTCTACCTGACAATGTAGACAATAGCAAGCGATATCGCAAATAATTGCAACCTTCATACGTAAGAACCTTATTTCTTATTTTAGCTGGCATACTGTATTAAAATTTGCGGGGCATAACACAATGTGACGGAAGGATAAATTTCGTAGTGTATAGTATTGCCTTGTACCAGGCAGTGATTATATTCAATAAGACTGAATATGCCTTTAAAAAGAAACAATTTTTACTCCCTTTGATTCTATTTTTTAGAAATTAGTCAAAATCAACAAAAGACCTGAAAATAATTATTAAACTAGTTATTCGAGAAACCTGTATTTTAAAAATACCGCCATAAATTTAGAATTTTTAAAATTCGATCCCGGCGCCATCTATACACAAATGGCCGAACCTACTCAACAACTTCGGGGTCCCTGAAACCCCGAATGCCATAAGGTCGGTATACAGAGAGAGCCACCGGTGCTTCGGGGTCCCTGAAACCCCGAATGCCATAATGTCGGTATGCAGAGAGAGTCAATGGTGCTTCGGGGTCCCTGAGACCCCGAATGCCAGATTGTCGGTATGCAGAGAGAGTCACCGGTGCTTCGGGGTCCCCGACACCCCGAATGCCATAAGGTCGGTATATAGAGAGAGCCACCGGAGCTTCGGGGTCCCTAACACCCCACGATGTATCAGGTTGGTATCCAAAGGGCGTCATTGGCGTAGCGGGGTCCCTGAAACTCCTGAATGAAATCAGGTCCGTGTGAAGAGGGCATAACCAGTATAATAATCGTCCTCTAATTTCTTCCGGAGTTTATTTAATTTACTTTATTTATTTTTTCCGCCTATTAACAAACCCATCACAGAGGAATCTAAACCTCTTCTAAGGCTCGGCGGACCTTTTGTTTATTATTTTATCCTTCCTTATGACAGTGACTTTGTAGTCAGTGCTTCTACTATCTGTAATCACTGAGCAAAGGTTGTCACTGCGCTATTTATTGCATGAAAATTATTAATTTCTATTATAATTAATCATATTTATCATGTCAGTAACAAAGAAAAAAGTGTTTGTTACTGTAGGTACTACAAAATTTGATGAATTAATCAGAACAGCACTCAGTTCAGAAGTCTTAGAAGTAAACATATGAAATCATAAGACTTGTTTATTTTTAATTTCACTGTAATGTATATTGTTATTGTATAATTGTTTCAGGCATTGTCATCAAGAGGATATAATGAAATGATTTTACAAATTGGCAAAACTTTATTTGTGCCTGATCGTACACCATGTTGTGGTTTTTTAAACATAGAATACTTCAACTTAAGTGTAAACATTAATGATTATGTAGAAAATGCAGATCTTATTATAAGTCATGCAGGGGCTGGAAGCATACTTGATGCATTAGAAAATAGAAAGAATTTAATTGTTGTTGCAAATGAAAATTTGATGGGCAACCATCAATTGGAATTAGCTGAGCAACTGTATCAAGACAAACATTTATATTATTGTACCTGTGAAACGTTATTGAATACTATACAAATAATGGATTTTACAAAATTAAGACCATTTGTTAATGATAAAAGTAAACGTATCGCCAAATTCATAGATAAAATAATGGGATTTTCAGTGTAAGGACATTGAAAATTATTTGTGTATCTATTAAAGTAATGTTAAAACAATTTCAAAATAAATATAAATTTTATTTCTACAGAACGAAAAACTTTTGAAGGGTTAATTGATGTCATTTGATATATTTTAGTTTTTACAAGTTACAATATAAGTATATAACAGTTTGAGTTGTTTGTTATAACAGATATAGCTTTGATATAATTTACAACAATAGTAAGAATTACTTAAATAACTGTTTCTTAAAATTATGGTGTAATAGCATAGAAAAATTTATAATTTGCAATTTAAAAAAAAATGACAAATAACAACGGCAGTTATTGTTAAATATTTTTTTACATATTATCTTTGGACGTTTGCTGTCGTTAAAATAAAAGCTATATCGGTAAAAGTATTTTTTGAACACTGTACAGTGTTAAAATAAATTCAGTCCTTCAAAAAATCTTCTTGTTACTTTATAAGTTTAATATCTTTAGGAATGAAGTAGACAGGCAACTTCGTACGACGATGAACATAGGTATTGCATCAGCAATTTAAAGAATTCACACATTTTAATGTGTCACATTGTATCGCTTTTTAGATGATGTCATTATTTATACTTTAAATTTATTGTACGAAGATACATCCACATGAGGCAAACTACATATATATATAGCGACATGTGTTTTTTAATTACACACCAAGCCAAGACGTGTCATTTCTTTCAAGAGTTCATTTCCCATTTGCGCAGGACTCCTTGTAACTATTACACCGGCCTGTAAAAAAAACATTTTTATATACGATAACAGGAATAAATTAAATCAATAATACACGGAATTTAATTGTACCTTTTCTAGTGCGTTAATTTTATCCTGCGCGCCTCCTTTTCCTCCTGAAATAATTGCACCAGCGTGTCCCATTCGTCGTCCAGGAGGAGCAGTGATACCAGCAATGAATGACACTACTGGCTTAGCTTTACCACCCTGAAATATATTAAATAAGTATAACATCCATACGTGTTATTACAGAAAATTAAATTTATAAGGATTTACAACATGCTTTGAAGAATGTAGGACATCAGAATTACTGAAAAGTAATCATCAGTTATTAGGATAGGATGGGATGAGGTTTAGGTACCAATAAATTAGAACAGCAACCAACAGTGTTATTTTCAATGAGGTATTCTGCTGCTGATTCTTCTGCACTACCACCAATTTCACCAATCATTATAATACCATCACACTGTGGATCTTTAAGAAATACTTCCAAACAATCAATAAAGTCAGTTCCATTGAAGGGATCGCCACCAATCCCAACACAAAGAGTTTGCCCAAGACCAGCCTTTAAAATAAAATTTTCATTATTAACTCTTATTAACTCTCCAAGAAAAACTGTAAAATTAGAAAGAAGCATCAACTTACAAGGGTGGTTTGATTCACAGCCTCGTATGTTAAAGTACCAGATCTTGATACAATACCAACTTTTCCTTTTTGATGTATATGGCCTGGCATAATGCCTATTTTACACTGAGATAATCGTATGTTGTAAAATGAATATAAGATAAATTAGTACACAAATATTAAGAGATTTCAAATAAAATATCCATACCTGTTCTGGAGCTATTATTCCAGGACAATTTGGTCCAATTAAACGCGATTTGGTTTGCTCTAACAGTCGTCTTTTAACTTTCACCATGTCGTGTTGTGGAATACCTTCAGTAATACATACAATTAATGGCATTTCAGCCTCTATAGCTTCCATGATAGCCGATGCTGCTGCTGGTGGAGGAACATAGATAACAGTAGCTGTGGCACCTGTGGCTTCCTTAGCCTATAATGAAAATCATGTAATCTATAAATTTAATGTCATTTTATATGTGACCTTTAAATAGAAATTATGTAATTTAAATATTATTATGAAAAATTTTATCAACCTCTTTCACAGTTTTATAAACTGGTTTTCCAAGATGTTCTGTGCCAGCCTTCTTGGGACTAACACCGCCTACTATTTTAGTACCATACTCAATGGCCTGTTTGCAATGAAACGTTCCTTGTTTACCAGTAAAACCTTGACATATTACTTTGGTACTGGAATCAATTTTTAAATTTTTTCTAGTAGCTGTATAATTAAATCTTATTTGAGAACCTAAAAGACTTCCACAATTTCTGACTGAAACATAAAAGAAACAATATATTGAAAGAAAATATACTACCAAGAGAACTTGTTGAAAGAAAATTTTAAACAAGGGAACATTGTTATCTTTAATTATTACTTTAATATTAGTTTATTCTATTAAATTTAGGAATAATTAATTGCTGTAAACAAAAATTTTAAGTCCCTATTGTCTCAACACAAGCTTATTTATAGGAACAATATCAAATTTCTTAATTTTTAGGTCAAGGTTCATTGAATGAACATCATCCAATGAGTTCATGTGATTGAACTCATGCATGACACTTATTATGACAGAATGATAAATTATAATATAGATACATTAAAACAATGATTCAACATTGTTTCTAACAGCTATAAAAAATAATGTTAACAAGTTAAATGTAACATCACTGGTACAAGGTACATACTAAGATAAAAAAAGACTTAAAAAATGTATATTATGACATGTATATAAAAGAGAAGTGAAATTTTAATACAGAATTACATAATGATTCATTAATAGTTAAAGGATATTGTACAGCAAATCTGATTAATTATAAGTAAATCCCCCCATAAGAAATGAGTTATGAATAATTATATATATCCTTATATAATGGGAACATTAATATGAACTGCAGGATGTCAGAAGTATTTTTAGTTTTTGAAATTTATAACATATTCGATACGAGACACGAGAATAGGACGTGAAATCTTGCAATATCATACAAATATGTTTCAAGTATTTCGAAATATACAAAGGTCCTCTTTTTTAACAATGAAAAAAACCCATTCAATAAGTATACGTATTTTACCTGTGAATTTTGAAAATGTCCTGACAGCCACAGCCATTTTTAACTAATGTTTCTTTTAAAAAAGTTCGGTTAATAAAATTGAATTATTAGAGAACAACCATTAAGAAGACTAACTTCGATCAACTAGCGAGGTCAAGTTCGAAAGAAAATATACGGACAAAGTGCTCTTATCGTATGTATGTATACTCAACTCCACCAGATTCGTTCTGAACTTGTTAGATGACAGGAACATTGAACATCGAAATGATTGGTCAAGTACTTTTCGCAGTCTTACTTTCAACCTGATTTTCAATCTAAAAGTTTGTTCGTAGGAAGCAAATTTCCTATAACAATCTAATAGATTATTATCAGGATAAACCTATTCTGAAATCAGATATTTCAGGTATAGATATTGAACTTAAAACCAAGTAAAGCTGAGAAAATATGATTTTTTTGAGTTTGTAACTTTGTGTATTGGTCTCACAATTTACTTGGTTTTATTGGTAGAAGCATAGAGACATTAATTTTATCCCTAATTTGACATATTTGAAATATACCCTAGAACCATTCATGAAATCCATACGTTTTAGATAAAAATATGCTTCGTGAGAATTAAAATAATACAGTAAGAAAATGAGTGATAACTTCTGAAAATTTCCACTCGTTGTATGATTAAATTCATCTTGCAATCATTGAAATAAATGTAATGATAGTTCTATAGCAAGGAAAGGTAGTATGCTGCATAATCAACGGAGACTACCTAAAACTGAGCGTAGTTAATGAAAGTTGCGATTGATGGTATCATAGTTTGGCAAATGTAGATTACCGAAAGAAAGTCTACGTAAATCCTTTTTCGATTTTATTGTTATTACTGACACAAGAATTTAATTATACACAAATTTTTCATATGGATTAAACAGTTTATCGAAATTTCAAGTGATCCGAGTATAAGAGTAATATCGATGCGTATAGATAGTACGACATAAATGACAGTGATGTATAGAAAATAAATATCTTGATAAAAATGACGTGGTGAAGAGAACCTTATCGTTTTACAAAACCATCGAAGAAATTGCAAGGTACGCGGCTTTTTCTACTTGATAATTCTTTCCGATTTATGTTGTTTCAAGTATCTGGGACATGATTAACATAATGTATTTAAAATGCCGATTGTTTCAAATATAGTTTTGAAGATGATTGAAGAACATTTTTTGTAATCAAGAAGCTATTTTAATTATGCTACTTACACACAATCCGAAAAAGGTTTTTACTATCTATTGTTACGTATTACGTATTATGAAATTATCTGCTATTATAATGATGGCTAATATTTTTGTACATTTGGAAGGTGTTTTATGTAAGGCTAAGAAAAATGTTCTATTAATAAAAAATGAAAGAATTATGTGCATATTTTTGAATGCTATTACAGATATACATTTCAACATTCAGTTTCTGAGATTATTTAAATTCTTAGTTTTATTGTTTTATCATGAAAAGTTATTTTAATTCTTTATTGAAGTTTTATATTATACGCATCAAGTACTTTATACATAAATGTTAAGTAATCAAGTACATGAAACAGGATGGAGGAAAGTACAAGTTCTGAAAATGTTTGGTGTAAAAGTAAAGCTGAAGAACAAAATAGCTTGTACCATGAAGAATCTATAACTCAGTCTATGGAAGCTAGTTCTACTTCTTTAGCAGATATATTTAATACTGCATTTACATCAACAGTTGATCCATCTCCGCAATCAAGATTTAATTCAGGTATAGACAGAATGAAAATATTAAATCTAACAATTAATTTCAGTAAAAACTTACTGAATTATTTTCATTGTAGCTAATGAAATGGAGTATGAACATCTATTCGCAGAGAGTGATATAGAGGATTCAGATGTAGTACCTATTAACCGTTATGTAAATTCACCGCATCATCCTACTCCAGATAATGCTTTCGTTTGTGGAAGTTATTTACGTGCACCTGAAGCTGGAGGAGGAATTTTACACGAACGTGATCCTCCAGTGAAACATAGAAGTAAAAAAAGGGAGGAACATAAATTAATCAATCAATCAATTGATCAACCAATTGATAGTTTAAGCGTAGCTGGCCCATCAAGATTATCAGATGGAATTTCTAATAGGTATTAGTTTAAAATGATATTTTTCTTACTACTTTCTTATTGGTCTCATTTTTACCTTTCAGCACAATCAGATCAACAGCCAGCAATGGAACCATTTTAAGCAGAGTTATACAGAACATTGAAAATGACAGTGCCAATGAACCCAATACTTTATATCATTCAGTTTTGCCAAATACAATTAATCCTCAACAGCAGTCGATCCATACAAGTATATTCACATTTTTCATATTGTTAAATAATAACATTTTATTATAAACTGTATTTAATTTCGTAATACAGGAAACGATGATACACCATCAGCACCAGATCTGCAATTGGATTGGTCATCGAGTAGTGACGACGCTACCAGTAGCGATGACGAAGATGGCTCGGTTGAAGTCCTTGGAACAGTAAATCATAATAACAAGGTAAGATAAACATTTAAATTTTAATGCTTTGTTAATTTTTAATACAATACGTTTTATTGTATTTTAATAGCAAAATTCTGTACAAAATAACGAAGAGGGTAATCGTCCGGTAACTGTAGTTGATTTAACCGTGGAATCAGATGAAGAACATACTCCACCTACGCCAACAACTTCAGTAGTAAATCCAACAGATTATGTACATAGGTACTAAGAGATAATTCTTTAATATATACATATTCTTGTATTAATTTTAATTATTCCTTTAGTGGGAACAACTCTTATTGTATGCATGGCACACCAGACTACATGTACCATAACAGGTGTATGCATCACAATTATAGAACTCCAGTTCCAGTTATACCTGTAGGATATGGAGTACCAGGTAGTATTTTCAAGCTGTAAACACAAGTAAAATAAAACATTTTAAAATATCTTTCATAGAATTATTCTTAATTTTCTTTAACATTTTTACAGATATTTTACAAATAAGACCGCGTATGCATCCTGTACAAGAAAGATTATGGAGGATACAGCAGCGTGTACAAGAAGTACATAGGAGATGTCAATATCCAAGATTTTCGTCGCATCACACGTTAGTATCATATTAAATCTGTATAATTTTATGTAATGTCATAATTTACTTGTTCAGTAGCACATCGTCGTGTAATCCGCACGTGCATCAAGCAAACCAGCACACGTGTAATAACGGAAATTCTAATCCCCCGAATAATCGTTGCAATGGTACGGAAAATATGACCTACGTGGAAAATTATCTTCCGTCTCCGATATTACCACCACCACAGCAACCTACCGTTTATAGTCATCCAGAAGCGAGAGGAGCACCGAGTTTTAGTCCACCTTGTCCCGTGCAACCTGTTATGGTAATTCAATATTTTGAGTACCTTTTTTCAGAAATTTAGGTTTCATTCAGATGATTTATATTATTTTATGTGTGTAGGAAAATTCTTTGAGTGGTGTTGTAGAAATGGAACCAACACCATCAGTATTGCCCCCAATGTCGGTTCATCCATATGTACATCATCATATGTATCATTATGGTCCTCACCGAAGACAACCCGGGCCACATATTCATATAAACTGGTTGCCACATCCTCCTTTGGTACGATTTTAAATATAAAATGTTGAATAAATGTTTCTCTTATTTTACATATTTTGTGTTACATATAGCAAGGATCTGGGGCTCATGATATGATGCCATTTTCACCTTTGAGTTCACTTCACATGCGCCTTGCATACAATTTACGACGTATGGCTCACATTAGTTGTGGAGCAACTCAGGAGTCAATTGAAAATCATACATTCCGCCATAAGTACAAACGGGTAATGAATAATAATAAATACAGTTACATGTATATTAATTATCAAAGTATCATTATTCATTCGTGTTTATTGTTTGTTCTGGCAGGTTAAGAAAGTTGAAAATGGTGAAGATGCTATAGAAAAGTGTACTATATGTTTGTCTGAATTCGAAGACTGTGAAAGTGTCAGGTAGAGATTATTTTCTTTATATGAATATAGATGAGCGATATTTATAGTATCTTCCAGTCTAATTTTATTTGTAATATTTTTTTCATAGGAGGCTTCCATGTATGCATTTATTTCACATAGACTGTGTTGATCAATGGTTATGGACGAATAAACGCTGCCCTATATGTCGAGTGGATATCGAAACTTTCCTGCATAAGGAACTTGCCAGCACTGCATAGTTTAAGGTTGATTTTATCCAACTGTTTTCGTTTATAAATATAATCAGGTAATATCCACATCATTTAAATACTTTGAGATATCCTAATCATGGGTAATCCCATTTCTGACAATGTTATGGATGTTGGTGTAAAAAAAAATTTCACTGTGAATAATCAAAATATGAATAACTAAAATAGAACTAAGTTCCTGGAGTAGTAGGGGAGGTTTGTTTTGATTTAACATTATTATCCTTGCATTCGTTTTATGGGTATTAATAATGCTGTATATAATGAATGTTAGGTTTGTTACATGTTATTAATGAAATTTGTATTTTTTTTTTAAATGATTTGTCGCGTACATAATGCTTCACGTAACAACAAATTGTTGAAATTATATCAAGCATTTGAAATCATATATGTCTTCACGTTTATTTTTATCCAACTTTTTCATTACTTGTAATAAGAAAAGAAGATGTTAATTATTGAAACCTCTAGGCAGTTGCCAATTATTGTGAATTTTTTTTTAATAGAAACCGAAAAAAATAGCAGATGTAAGCTAATAAGAATCATACAAAAATAGTTTATTTCTGAATAATAGTAATTCTACTGGGTGCTATATTGATATAAATTTTATAAACACTAAACATGTATTAATAATTTATGAAGAAGTTACAAGTTCCGTATTGGAACGATTCTTTGAGGCTATATGTGTAAATTTTCACTAAGTTTTTATATTAAACGAATTTTTTTATTAAAATTGTACTTGTTATACTTAAATAAGTAATTGTAAAATTTAATCAGTTACAAGTAATACGTTTTGATATTTTAAATTTTCAAATTTCTTACGGTGTATAAAAGAAAAAAAAAACGTAATGAACTTTAAATAACACCAAATTTTACAAATAGAGTAAAGTCTTCATGAAAAGAGTTAATATAAGTTGGAAATAAAGAGCATAATAAAAAAAAAAATATAAAAAACAGTATAGATAAAATTTTAATGAAATAAGTATAATTAAATGCATACAACTACTAATATTATGTAATGTTGCTGTATATTATTATTGTATATATCAAAACATAATAACATAATATATATTACATATATACATCTATACAGTGACATTACATAAAACACTTTCAGCAGGCATATATCAACTACGTGCAGTGTAATTTTATAACTTCATTTTATATATCAATGGCAGGAGTTAATTCGTCTTATTCAACATAATAATAACGATTTTCACCAAGTGTATTTTCAACATTCAAATGAAAAGCAGACTATTTTCACTTGTTTTTTATACAAATAATATAAATGCCTTTTCAAAGCAAAGATATCTGATAAAATATCCTTGATTTTTATACTGAAAGGAAAATGTTATAGTGCGAATGATAATTCTCACTTAATTATTAGCTGTAAGTAACATGTTTATGTGATGATTGTTTGATTATAGCACTAGAGAAAGAAAATAAAAGGCAGTATAATGTAAAATGTAAATGTTAAACTAAGTCAACAATTTAAGGCCGTTAAATTGATCGTGCAAACTTTCTCAGCCTAATTAGCGAAGCTAAGCCAAAGATATAAAACCTAAACTAAAAATTAAATACTCAATTATCATTCTTGAAGTATTAAAACATACACGTACGTACACACTGGTTTCACAAATTCTAATTACATTTCTATTCAAAATTTTCATTATATTAAAATAGGTTCATAAAGAAAAGCTCATTCTCTGTGCATAATGGAATATCAAGATATCAGATGTATATTTTAATTCGTAACTATTCAATGAGATGAAAGCTTTGCTGTTACATATAAAGAAATTATTGTAGAAATTATTTACTGCACTCTGCGGGCCTTATGTAATATTAGATATGTAAATAGTTACTAGATTACAATGTAATCAAAAATGACACTGAAATGATAGAAAACAGCGATCATGTAAACAAATGTACTATCATTCAGAACTTCCAATACCTAACATTAACAAAGGGCTAATTGAAAAGCTCTACTATTAACATTGTTAAATGTACCAAATCATTTAATTGTGAAAATATGATTCTGCATAGCGTTTGCGACATTGATCATTGATCATTTTCATACGGTAATTCGGTTTAAGGGCAGTGTATATTATGGAAGCTACGTTAAAATTGTAGAAACAAATTGAATCATCGGGAATGTTAATTTTAATTGTAAAACGAATGATTATTTAACGAAACATCACGATCACTTTACACTTGTGTAATTTTTTTTTTATATAAATCATAGGATTTTGATTTATTGAATCAAAGTTGCAAGATTTTCAATGGAATTCCCACATAAAATTATTAAATAGGGAAAAAGCGAAATGTTTGTTCTATGAATAATATTGTTTTACAGAATAACAAGTAAGTGTGTTTAACAAATCATTGTAAATATCGAGGTACTGCGTTTTTAATGATTTATAATAATTTATTAAAGTATTGTATTATTGGTATCGCCAAAAAGAAAATGGGAATCCAACGTTTGCATATCGTAATAGGTTGACAATTTCTTCAAAGTCATTGTCGAAACGCGTTTCTCAGCAATGTAATCAACATTGTTAAGAAAGTTTCATTCCACTGCCATTAATGGACAATGATTCAAAAGTAACCAGCAGAAAGTCTACATGTACGATTACTCTATCTGATTTATCGTTTTAAATACAGGATCGAATAAAAAAGTGTATGTTACAGCGTTTAACATGTAAATTTTCTGTTCAACAAACAAATGCGAGCGCGTCATAATGCTTTTCTGTTTTATGTATAAATCATTGAGAATGAACGGACGTTCAGAAAGTTTCTGAGAGAACATCGTATATTAATGATTCGAGTATACGTGTATAACAAATAAAAAGAAATTTACTTAAAAACTTATCAATTTCTTATAATTTCATTGTAAGAACGCTGTCTATTTTTATCAATCGATAAAAAGACCATACATATTTTTATCAATCGATAAAAAAACCATACATATTTTTATGATTCGTTAAAAAAGAAAGAAAGAAGGTAGAAATTCTGCATGCTCTGTTCTCTTCCTGTTTCACACTTTAATTAATCTTTTTTTTTTTCTTCGATCGCTGCACCTTTTCATACATTCACGAGATACCTGCCTATTACATGTACAGATAGTGAAAGGGGGTGCAATAGAATAAAAAATAAATAAACTGGGTCATGCACTCTATACTATGGCTTCAGAAACTGGTTTCACGTTCGATGCGATCCTAGAAACTGGAATAAATTATAGTACATTTTTTAACGAACGTAAAAACATTATTAAGAAAATTGTTATTCAGCTGTGAATCATGCTTTTCTTTGTGGGTGCATAGTGCACAGGATGCAACTGTGCATTAAAGTGCAGTTGCATTTATTTTCTGAATGAAACTTCAATTTCAATTTAGAATCTTTCTTTTTTCCAGGAACTTTGTTTTAATTCTGAATCTAATTTTAGATGATTATACAAAACGATTATTAACAGTTAAGAGTGTTCACAGATTGTTATAAAACGTAAGGTAAATCGTAAAGTACCTGACTGTTGATATTCGTATCTTTATGATTTTATTTGCACGGAATAATAAATTTCACTTTCTAGAATTAGTTCGCACGAAAAAGCTTGTTTTTTTGTTGCAAAAACATCTTGTACGCAAGAGACAGGTTAACACCTTGTATTGCGTTCAAATATATCGTTCTCGTTACGTGCACGCTGTTATCTTGGAACGCGATCGCAATTGTAATATCTCCATTATATGGAGATACTCGCATCCTTTATTTCTCTCGTTTTTATCAAACAATGTTAATCCTATCCGTTGCGCGAATAATTCTCGAGAGAAGATCTTTTTCATCCGGATAGATACAAGATCCAACTGACATCAAACTAGTATCAATATTCTAATCGTCTTCCGATAAGATTAGTCCTTAGTGTCTAGTAAAAAATCAATTTCCACGTATACATTGACCTATTTCCGTCGTTTCGTGATTTAACGAAAGATATCTCCGTTTTTGTTCCCTCGTTACGTGACGAAAATGCGCGTGAGGAAAGAGAAAAGTGTCGATGCTGATAAAATCAGATCTTCGCAAAAAAAGGTCTGTCTGAGAGACGTATAATTATGAGAATCATTCGATTGTGAGTCAGCCGGTTGTTTACCTCACGTTCATTACAAATCTCGACGAGAAAGAGAGATTAAACCGATGACGCACCTTATGCGTCTTATACTGTAACTCTTCACGACGCACCATGTGCGTCGTCTAAAGATATCGATATTATCAGTCAAAAATATCAAAAAACATAGGAAAAGGTGAATGAAAATTGCAATTGATATTAGTTGAAAGTTAAAATAAATAAATTAATCGTTAATATGTTTCTTTTTTAACTAGAAAAAAGATTCTAACGTCCTCGCTCGTCGAAACGATGATTTCGAGCAGCCGAAACGCTTACGTAAGATTCAAGCACGTCGATTCTTCTTCTTTTGTTCTACGTTCTTTCATATTTCCCGTTTATCGTAATTTATTGCTTCAGAAAATCAATGCCTACCGATTCGTTCGAGTTTCGATGACGATGAGCAGGGAATACCTGAAACGTTTCAGGAAGAACCAGTGCTCGGTCAAATCTATTTCAATTATTCGTGCTATTATACTTTATATAACGAAGAATAATCAGCCTGTCTTTGTTCCAAGGATCCACGGTGTTCATCAAAGGCGCGTCTTTAATTAGCAAAGCAAATTTCACAATATTTTTGTTTAAATAATCACTAGTCATTAACATTGAAAAAAAACTCAGGTACAGCTATTTTAAAATTGAAAACAATGTAAGAAAATAAATAAACGAAGGTTAGAAAATAAATAAGCTTTATCTTGACAAAAGTAATTTCCATTTCGAGGAAAGCACTTTATCGCTATTGGTGAAATACGAGGGACCAGAGTGAGTCTGATCCTCTCTGTATCACCCCCTTGCTATGCTAACAATACCACAATAAATTATCAAAATAAGTTAAGAAACAGAAAAAGAAAGAAAATTTTCATTTTGTAAAATCTTATAAGAAATAGATATTTCAATTGAAATGAGTAACACTTAATACTTGATACATTTAGTGTCAACATTTTAATGGCCAATGATGACCCAGATACATGAAATGGCATATCCACTAAAATTATTTAATCAAAACAATGCGACGATTACCGGCGAGTGCGAGAAGAAATGAATCGGTCACCATGTTCAATGCCGTTTGGAGAACATTGAATTCTGCTTGCAGGGGAAAAAGAGAGGGAGTACGTCACACCGTCGGTGGTTATATAGCCAGCTACGGGAACTGATCGTTTCAGTTCTGAACACTTTGGTCAGGATTTGTCTGCTTCACTATTGTTTCCCGCCAATAATTCATCTGATTGTTTCTCCTACGCCACGAGTGCCCGGGGTGTCCTGAATAGGATTTTCCACGTGGTCGAATCATCGAAAGGCAAAACCGGAAGCATGCGACCGTAAGTCCAAGAATTTTGAGTTTATACACTTTTGAAGAAATCTTGAAGAAAAACTGGAGTCCTCAAAGCGTTTCAGCAAATAAAAAGAAGGTAGATCCTTCGAATTTTGGACAAAATGCCTCCGCAAGAGAAATTTGACAGTCCTGTTCATTTGGAGGATGCACAGAAAAATAATGCAGAGGCTTGTCGAAATCCGGTGGAGCCAGAGACACGAGGTTCTATTAGGAATGTTAAAGAGGAAGCAATGGACATTGACTTTGATGAATTATTACCTTATGTTGGTGAATTTGGACTCTATCAGAAGATTCTGTTTATCTTGATGATACCGTTCGCCTCGTTCGTCGCGTGGGTGTACTTTTCCCAGATATTCATCACACTGACGCCGGAAGAGTACTGGTGCTGGGTGCCGGAACTGGAGGACCTCACTGTTGATGAAAGGTTTGTTAAATCTTTAGGTATTTAGGCGAATGTAAATACTTAATTTACTTTTTTCTTCAAGGGTTAATAATTAATTATATCAATAATAAAAAATTTTCAAATTGCCTAAAATTGCTCTATTGAAATTTTAATATAAAATATATTAATTTTTGATAAATCATTTTTGAGACACAATGGAATTTTGAATACCGCAGATGTATATCCGAATGAATCATCATTTTCCACGATGTTCGTGGAATCGGAACGGCGAGGTGTTTCTTCTGGTGTAATTATCGATTGCTACCGTCTTAGAAGCTTCCCCGGCACGTTATCCGATGAATGATCGACTCATGAATGAGGAGATACACGTCTGATACTGAATGTAATTGTACATCAAAGGAAAATTTCGAATCAGACTCAGTTCCTTTAGAAAATCCGTGATGGCATGATAGGGGAGCAAGATAATAGTACTTAAGACTCAATGACCCACCGATGGATCACACCTCCCTGTATTTGATAAGGATTTTAGAGATACAAGTGAGAGGATTTTATCTGTTTACAAGTCTGTTCTCCCGTTGACAATAGATTAACTCTTTGATAACTCTGTTTAATGAGATTTATAACATTTGTAGTTATCTATCTATTTCTTTATGTCTGTAAAAGTGTCTAGCGACAGGGTTAGATTTGCGAGCTTTTTGTACAGGGAAGGTCATACTTATCGTCGAATTTAAAAATCTATAACATAAAACAATGTTCAATTCTTAAAATGCCAAAATGACTCATAGTTGACCATTTGACGTGAACATGGAAAAGGTATGAACGCACTAACAGTTGCAATAAATTTGTCGAAAGTAGCATAATTATCTGTAATTTAAGCCTCCAACTATTGCTTGAATTTTATTGAGGAAAGAAAATAAGTAAGGCAGAAATAATCGATCGCGATGAAAAATGCAATTGGATTCATTAATAAAAAAGAATCTCTATTTTGTAATGCAAAGTAGATAACGAGTAACTATTTATAATCCACTGGATTAATAATATCTTCTTCTTCATCCGATTACAATGAAATGTTTAACTACAATTATTTAAGCCTTCTTTTTAAGAAGACTTTATCACAGTCCATTACAAAGTGTAACGAGATATTCGAAGTCACGGTGAAACAGAACTCTCCTATCGGACATTCTCTCGGCGAATGGTTTCTCAACGTAAAACCGTTCTTCGATTTCAACGACATTTCCGATCGATTCGTTCGACTGATTGTGCCTGATTCTTAGCCGGTAAATATTGGTAAAAAGGCGCAGACCGTTCGTAAAGCGTGCTAAGCAATCGATGACGAAAGGCGTAACTGGATTGCGCTTAGATTGGGGTTACAGGAATCGCGGGTAAACAGCCTTCGAATGTTATTCAAACAACGCAACTGTTACGGTAACAGGTTGATAAATACCTGAAGAATGTAAAAATATAAACGATGCGCAAAGAATCGGGCAAGAATTGTATCGACAAGCGTCTATCGCGTTTCCTCGTTTCTTTTCCCTCCGTGAAATCGCGGCTGAATTGCATCATGGAAATTATTTGAAACGCGGTGTTTGTTTAAACGGCGCACTCTTGTCACGGGTTCGTTAATTCTTTTGTAAATGCATCGCGACGCTGTCGTTAACGTGGAATTGTTTTTCGCGTCCAGACGGGGTTTCCATAATTAGGAGCTTCTTAGCGAAACGCATCGTCGCGAAATTGGATGCTGGATTATGACCTGAAATTACAAAATTTACCCTAAGGCTGTGACTAAAATTATCCACTGAAATTTGATAATAATTTATAGAGCCCAAAATTAAATTTCAGATTAATGTTTTTGGGTTAACTTTCAACAGGTTTTGAAATGCACTTTGAATGACGTACGCTCGTAAATTGTTTGCGAATGTTTAGCAGAAAATGTGCAACGATTCGCTTGGAACCTTCGTGAAAACAATGAGAGCGTGAACGTTGAAAAATATCGTTGAGCACGTAACATTCTGCTCGAAATTGTTGATTAAATATAAAAAAAAGAATGCCAGAGACGCGTTAATAGGAAGTGTTGATTGCAATAAATTCCTTTCAATGACAATACAACTCGTGTAAAATTTACGTAAAAAAATAGATACATGATATTAAAAATATCTTTGTATCTATTTTTAAAATTCCAAACTGAGCAGTAATTAAATAAATTACTCAGGTCATTGACCTTCGCAATGTACACCAAGGTCACTGAAATTATCGAGCTGGACGCCAGTTCACATAATTAAAAGTATCATTAACGAACGAGGCGTGAACGAGCACGTTTTTCTCAAAGTCTCCATATTTTCACGGCTTTCAAGCCTCCTCACACTGAATCCCGGATGAAAAATGCATCGTACGTGTGCATAATGCATTGCATCGTTGTTCGTTCACTTCTCATGCAAAGGTCAGACGATGCACGCGATTAATCGCGGAGGTATAAGAACTCGATTGGATAACATCGTTCTTCTACCGTGAACATTCTCATTATTCTTGAAGAAAATTTCTTCTCGTCAGTTCCTGACACAACTTCCTCCTATCTTTCTTCCAGATTGTCTCTGTCAATACCAAACGGTGGCAAAGGATATTCGAAATGCATCATGTACGATGTAAATTACACGGAGATCCTGTTAAACGGAAGTCGTTTGCCGGATGCATCGTGGCCAACTAAAGCTTGTCAACACGGTTGGGAATTCAATTACTCCGTCGTTCCTTACGCCTCTGTGGCGGCCGAGGTTTGTTTTAGATATTATTATTTATCAAATTATTAATTGTTGGGTCTGATTGATTAAGTAATTCTGATAATAAATTATAACGATTCCATATTCTTTCATTTCGGATTTCAATTGAAAATGAATAATAAATATCGATTAATCGAGGACTCCTTTAAAGTAATTCTCTGCTGCAGTTAGGATGGGTATGCGAGTACGATGCACTGCCAACGATGGCTCAGAGTATCTTCTTCGTCGGCGCAATTTTCGGAGGATTGATCTTCGGATGGATAGCCGATCGATACGGAAGAATACCGGCGTTGATCGGTGCGAATCTTACGGGATGTTTCGCAGGAATTGCTACTGCGTTCACCAATAATTTCTGGCAATTCACCTTGTGCCGTTTCTTCGTTGGATTCGCCTTCGACAATTGCTTCACCATGATGTACATATTAGGTAATTGTAACACAATTTTCCACTTGCCGTGTAATTAACCCTTTCATGTTAACGTGTTTCAATTTGGAATATCAAAATTATGTTCAATTTGAGATACCAATCGCTGCTGACGCCCACGGTAATGAACGTTTACACGTGTTTGTTTCATTACACGACGAGTTGCTGACTCGTCGTGCCGACAGCATTCCTGTCGTGAAAATCAAGTCAACCGTGATTCAATGACTCGAGTCGAGGTTGGAAAAATTCACAAGCCCAACATGTTCCAGTGTCGAAAACTAGGCCAAGTTGATATCAGATTCGTGTATCATGCACAGCTCCATTGATCATTGTTTCCCAATTGCCAAGGTTTTTGTTTGATGGTCACGATTAACCCTTTGACAAATTGTTTGAAACGGAGTTAATTTTTATTTTATTTTATTTTATTTGCAAATGTGTCAATTGGGTCGTGTTAAAAATAATGTTTAACATAGTATTTACTCCCTAGTATCCCTATTCCAGATGGAATAAAGAGAAAATGTGCATCAAGATTGCGTGTCTGAGAAGAAAAAAGAAGAAATGAACGTTAATTCGTTTCGAAATAGTTGGAAAAGACCTTGCATTTAACGCGTGCCGATCGATTGAACGCCTCGTGGACACGCAACGTATAGACAAGATCATTATTATTAATCATTATCGTCAGTAAGCTTGTCTTATCAATTTACCTCGGTCCTCGGTTGCAGTGTTCATCGTTCAGACTTGTGTTTAATGAACGACGACACGACAAGAAATGATGTGTTGTTCGTGATCGAGGATGGAAATACCTTGGTGAAAAGTGAATGCATTTTCTACGAGAATACACGCTGTTAAAGTTGAAGGCAATAAAAGTTGCTTCAATGAGTGATGAAACGAGCTGAGAAAATGTTACCCGTTTTCTCTTTTCAGCGTCCGTTTTGCAACCGCGGTGCTACTTGTTACGCGGTATATCTAATTATTTCAGGATTTTTAATTCCACTATTTTGAGATTTTAAGATGGCGAATTTTGGGGGTTTAAGGTTCCAAAATTTGAGGGTTCCAAAATTGCAAGATTTCAAGGTTCCAAATTTCTAAATTCTGAGATTTCAAATTTCTAAATTCTAAGATTCCAAATTTTTTAATTCTGAAATTCTACATTTCTAAATTCTGAAATTCCAAATTTTTTAATTCTAAGATACCAAATTTCTAAATTCTAGGATTCCAAATTTTTAAATTCTGAAATTCTACATTTCTAAATTCTAAAATTTCAAATTTTTAAATTCTAAGATACCAAATTTCTAAATTCTAAGATTCCAAATTTTTTAATTCTGAAATTCTACATTTCTAAATTCTAAAATTCCAAATTTTTAAATTCTAAGATTCCAAAATTTAACACTTTTATCTTGGAAACTTGGAAATCTTGAAAATTGTAATCAGGACTTCCAAGATTTCGAAACTTTCGTAACTTCAAGTCCTTAAGACTTCATGATCTTAAGATTTCAATGGATCTTCAAAGTCTTAAAAAATTTCAAGACTTAGGGTTCGAAAGGAAGTTCCAAATGACTAACGTTATCCAATGTCCAGTCATACGTGTCTCGAGGCCGTTCTTTGCAACTTCGAAAATAAATCTGTCATGTGCAAAAATGTTAACAATAAAGTCATAGAATAATAGATCGTTCCAACAGATTTCTATCAGTCCATGCTTATGAAACACGTGCATAAACCGCACGAAGTTGATCGTAAACAATCTGTCGCTCTATTTTAGTCGAAGAATGCATTTTACGTAAATGGAATGTGATGTTGCTCTACCAACAGCTCGAATTGATAAATATTTAACTTAATAACTTTTCATCGTATTCACCTCACGCTTGCAAATTGAAATACTTAGCGGATACACGAAAAACATTCGAAGAAACGTATCTCTTCAACGATCCGCAATATTTCAAAACAACACCTTGTTTTCCTTTTATGTTGCTAATTTCGTTTCACTTTGAGAGAAGAACAAAGTATCTCGTTAATTACTAGATGAATTTTAAAATCATTTTTCCGCCTCGATTCTTCGATTATGCAATGCGTGAGGAAAGAGATGATATGTGGAAATTCATTGTCAACGAATTACGTCTACTCTCGGATGTCGCAAAACAGGGAACAATTGCGTTTAATGAATCGACAGCGTTAGTCACTTAATCTTTTTTTTCCATTTTTTTAATCAGTAATCAGCGTCAATTAGCCGTAAGAGCAGGCTTAATTGCGATCGTCGTTGTTTCTTTAAATTGCACCACTTTATTTGTGTCTAGAGTTAACGAAGTTATGGTGTTATAATTATAAAAAATGTTAAAAATAGGAATGCAACGATTGTCTTCTTAATCAACGATTTACTTAATTTTTTTAAATAACAGATATTTGCATATTGGAAATTGAAACGTCTCGAATAATTGAATATTCAAAACATAGCTAAAAATACGTACCTTTTTAATTAATTTTTGATGATTGTATTTCAGTATTGGAGTACGTTGGACCGAAATGGCGAACGTTCGTAGCGAACATGTCCATAGCCATATTCTTCACTTTCGCCGCTTGTGTTCTACCTTGGATCGCCTATTATTTGGCCGATTGGAGAATGACATGTATAGCCACGTCTGTTCCTCTGATTTTGGCAATGGCGGCACCGTTCTTGATCCCGGAAAGTGCTCGATGGTTGGTGAGCCAAGGACAAGTGGACAGGGCCATCAAGATCCTGCACAAATTCGAGTATATGAATGGCACCAAGGTGCCTGATGATATCTACAAACGATTCCGGGTAAAAAAACTTTCCATTCAATTATTATAGAATTGTACAACGGTATTTGCTTTTATAATTAATCAAAATGGTCCTTTGAAACAGGAAACCTGCGAGAGGATATGTAAAGAGGAGGAAGCTGACAAAACGTATTCTGTGTTGGATTTATTTAGGACTCCACGGCTAAGAAAAATCACTATTTTGTTTATTGTCATATGGTACGCATTGTTTTGTTATTTATAAGTGAATTATGGTATAACTTTCATGATAGCATTTCCTTTTTTTTTCTTTTTAGTTATTTGTCAGGACAATTTTTTTTTGAAGATTCTCTCTTATTTAAAAAATGAATTTTTTCCATATCATATCACTGAAAATTGTTTGTTTAAAAATTTCTTCGCGTATCTAATTAGAGAATGGAATTTGTTTTTCATATCAAGCAACACTGCTCATTTTTTCCAGGAATCGTGACTTTTAATCATATGAAATTTCTTTTTCTATCCAGGATGGCGGTCTCTCTGGTGTTCGATGGTCATGTACGAAACGTCGATAATTTAGGCTTGAACATGTTCGTGACTTTTACGATCGCCGCAGCAACCGAGCTACCTGCTGACACCTTCCTCACGGCTGTCCTTGATCGATGGGGTAGAAGATGGCTCGCATGCGGATCTCTCGTCATTTCCGGAATCTTCAGCATTTGGGCTTGCGCGGTTTCCAACAGTTAGTATCTTCTGTGGTTAATTTTGGGACATCCACAGTCTGACGTAATTTGATGACAGAAAAGTATCATGAAACATCGTGTATGATATATCAATTTAAAGCTTAAAGATCGACGAAAATAACCATGTAAAGCTTTTGTTAATACTCTTCATACAAAATGACTGATTTCCAATTAAAACATCCGGTTACTGATTTCCAGATGTATAAAGTCTGACAAGATTTCATGACATAAAAGTATCTCAAAATGCCACATACGATACGTGAATTTAAACCTTAAGGTTTGAGGAAAATGTCTGTATGAAGTAGTCATTAATTTCTTAAGTAATTATTCAAAATTTTTGAAGGTAAAAATGAAACAGCTAATATTCTTATGTTTGTTTCTTTAGATATTTACACAGCCACTCTGGCTATCCTGGGTCGATTTTGGATAAACATTTCTTATAACATTGGCCTTCAATATGCGGCTGAAGTGTTGCCAACAGTCGTCAGAGCACAGGGTGTTGCCCTTATACACATAATGGGATACGTAGCAAGCATTCTATCACCCTTCGTCGTGTATCTCGACGTTGTCTCATCCGTTCTACCACTTATGGTGTTGGGTATCCTTGGTATCCTCGCTGGTTTCGTCACTCTTTTCCTTCCTGAAACCCTGGACAAGGATCTTCCTCAAACCCTCCAGGATGGGGAGAACTTTGGGATGGATCAGAAGATGTGGGACGCTCCTTGTTTCGGAAAGTGAGATCCAAATACTTTTCAGTGAAATTCATATTCATCTTCGATTAACATTTCAAATTAAAATGAAATTTTTCTAGGAAACACGAGGACGAAGAAACACCACCTGTAGCCATGTTTAGGTCCATTTCTAGGGACAGTATTAGGAACTCGATGAGAGCCTCTCTTCGTGGTGAAGCCATGAGAAGCAGTATGATACGAAAATCCAGCGTGAGATCGAGAAAAGGTGGAGACTCGGTCACAGAGGTGGAAAAATTTTAGGGAATTTCCTGTAGAAAATGTTAGTTATATTGATCTCGATCGAAGGATCCTTATAGTCTTCCAAAAACCGTGTGCCATCAGCGTTGACCAAGTACCTTTTTCTATTAGTTTATTGTTAAATTTTAATTTAGTATAATTAGTTTGGTCAGTGCTGATGATTTGCCACCATGGTTTCTTGTATATACGTATAATCATGCCTAGATCGACGCTAAAAGTCACTGAAAGCCTCGAATGTGCAGTTTGATGTCAGATTTCAGGAAACAGTGACAGTATAGAATTTTTATTTCAATATGTAGCATTCGTAGGTACATAATTTGTAATAAGATTCGACGAAGGTTGTTGGATTTCTTCTAAAATTTTTCCAACACCTGTTTCCTATCCGTAGCATGAATAAGGATGAGGATTATCTTCTTACATCTTAGATCTGATGACGTATCTGCCGTCTTTATTTGTACATATATTAATTCGCTCTCGTGGATCATTGATAAAATGATTCTTAACCCTTTTTCTAAGACGACACCTGTATGTATATAGTGTTAAATTAATATATAATAGAATCACATTAATGAAACATTGATGATGTACGTATCATTGTTAGACTTTGAAATTCTTATCTGTTGATAATTTTTTTATCGCTGATTTTAGCATTTTGTGATACAGCATCACTTGTATATTATTTAACAGTATTTGAAACGGAGGAAAACTGGTGCTGCTTTAATTTTTAATTGGTAATGATAGAAATTGTAATTCCAAATCATTTCTCCGAGCACAATATTAATATTAAGTATTATTTTCAATACTATTGTTGATAGATAGTGTTAGGATATTTGTAAGAATTTTAAATAAATAGATACTAAAACGATCGTTCACAATTTTACTAAGAATATAAGTTCTTTTTTATATTTTGCAACACGTTTTCCATTTTCTAGAAAATTTTTCTAACAAATCTTGGATTACTCGAATATTTAACAATCTACTCATTAATCTGGATCTAAAAGCATTCATGTGTTCAATGTTAAGATTCAACAAACGGTAGTTCGTGACCTTTATCAGTACCTAATTAATATTGTGATGCAATAAAAAATGTGCAATCAAATCCCTTGACTATGAAGTGTTTAATATTGTCACCGTGGATTTAACAGATTAATTTGATCTTTTATAAATATTTTATAAGTATAAATAAAATAATTTAATTTCAACGTCGAAGTGGCAGATTATTTCTATTAATAGCCTCATTAACAGATAACTGAGTGCATATTAGTATCAGGAATAATATTGGATTAGACTATTGTAAATATGTAATGAAATCTAATTAGTCTCGACAGGAATTATTAATTGAGACACGCGTGTCTATTTCCGTCTCTATAAATTTTTATTTTGCTATTTTCATCTTCTTATTTCTCAATTTTGTGAATTCTAATGCAATAATAAACTACTTCTGATCCACTTAAGCCCTGAAAAACGAGATTGCATCGTACGAAACGGAAGAATCCAATTAAAGCCTTCGTCAACTAACAACGCGCTGCAAACAAGATTTCCTTTTAACGATTGTTTAATTACTCTATCAACTACTTGCTTACCAGCAACACTGATAGTGAATCCATTTTTTATCGATAATAACGAAGATAACATTAAAACCTCCTTACATAATGTATCTTTAAAAAAAATAATTTTTTTATTGAAATATCCATTATTTATATTCCAACAAAAATAAAAATTTTAAATCGTCATCAATACTTGGTCCTGAGGAGATGTAAATAAAATAAAAATTACCATGGAATACATTGTGACAAAGAAAATTCATGCTTATTCCTAAGTAAGGGATCGATTCCCCTTCGATCCCAGTAGATTCTGTTTCATTACATATTCATGACACGCGAGTACTGTGAAATACGGCCATTTTTCAAGAACAAAGTGTTACATAAAACAAAGCTAGACAGTTCCTCTGTGTTTTCTTTTCCTTTTTTTTTCCTTTCTTCTCTTAATAAAGGGTGGCATCGTCTAGGTCGACGCGACGGTGAAAGCATTTTCATTTTTACATCGGGTTGTGCAACTGCCTCGACGACGATGCAACGCGAAACCCACGGATTCCATTCGTGTTATTCATTGTCGGTAATCCATCAAGGCAGACGGGATCGTTAATCCTTTCGAGGATCCGGTGTCGTGACAATTCGAAGTCTTTGTTGAAAAATGAGTAGATGCAACAAATATGATTCTCCAATGGGGTTGTTATGAAAATTCGAACATCCATTGTCGTCGAACGATAGAATTTGGATTTAGAAATTTAAATTGTAAAAAATATTTGAAATTTTCTTAAATTTTAAATATTTAAATCCGTGAAACTTTCAAAATTCGGCGCTCCATTTAACGTGCAGTTGACCTCTTCATTTTCCCAAGAATAGTCGCGAAGATCTTTAATTATATCGGCTGCAAAATTATTTATAGACACGGAATACTGTATTGCGCTTCTATCTCTCGCGCGTGGATTAGAAACGGTGCCAGATCGGGTCAGATGAAACCCGTTGAAATGATACGAGACGTGGTAACGGATTCATAACTGTGTCTCTGTTATCATCGATGTCAGTGACCGTTAAACTTGTTTCATTGAACAAACATCGAAATGAAAATTAGATTCAATCGTTCACTTGTTCACTCGTTCACATTGAATTTAATTAATTTACGAAGCACGAGGAATTTTTCGCTTCCAATTTCATTTTCTAAAATTTACAATTTAAATCTATAAATTACGTTCGTATTATTTACAAAAATCAATAATTTTCATTCAACAATTTCAGATAGAAATGTCCAAACTTGACCTATCTTTAGATTGGTGTACCCATTTAAGTACCTTTCGCTCACCGACATAAAATCTTCGATTTCTCTGAACAATGGATAGAGGTATTGAAAGGAACAATAAGATCGTGGAGAAAAAGGAGATCGATTCTTCGTGGATCTAGAGAAGAGTCGTGCGAAATTGCTTTGCCACCGTTTGAATCTTCTCTCTCTCGAAATCTCTCTCTGGATTCTCTCCTCTCTCATTTCTTATTGGCAAACACGTGTCATCATCTTCGCTAAGCAAAGCTTCTATATCAGCGATATACGAGCCTGTCTCCCCTTCATATTCGTGCAAGGTCTCGCGAGTGTCGCACGCGTTCTTCTCTTCCTCTTGCTGGAAAAAGTTTTCCTCCTTTAAACAACAATATCGTCTTCCGACAGCTGATCAAGGGATGTTCACGGTTCAGCGAGAAGAAAGGATCGAGTGAATTTCGTATCTTAATTAGTAATTGCTCGTTGAACCGATCGCGATTGACAGGGGTGAAGAGAGTACTTTGAAGTTGAATAACTCTGTGACGGAAGATGTGATCGTGTTGGCGAGATTTTTTTAAATCAATCGTTGCGTAATTCGACTTTAATTGCTCTGGTGAAAGCGTCCAAGTTGATTGCAATCAATTGTCAGGTCGTGTGATATTTTAAAAGAACTGAGTCTTTTTCTTCGCTTTATTTTGTGGTCGGAGGTTTGTTCAGGATCCTTTCACGACAGGTAACTGGTTCATCTTGAAAATATTTTCCTGTTATTTATAGTGGGATCTTGATTACTGGATTTCGGATTTATTAATAATTTAACACGTTTAGTGGATCAATAAAAAAGGCTATCTATAGTCAGACACCTTATAATTAGTTATCACTGTACACTTAAGTTATGAATGATTTTAAATTTAATTTTCGATTTAATGGACGAAGAAACGTTGGGTAGAAGTGGAAGTTTAATTGGATGTTAATTGTGAGAGACACTGGTAGAAAGGTAAACAAGGGATAGGTACTGCTACGTAAGACGATTACCTTGTGTCAATATTTCTTTTTTTTTTTCTTGAAATCTTCTGTGAAATAAGTGCGAATAAATATAACGTAGACGTCTCGAATTAATTGGAAGATTAATTAGCGTAATTGGAACAGTTGGTTCATTAGCAGGATGGAAAATTGTATTTTTCAAAACTCCAAATAATTGATTTCATATTCTACTTGGCATTACTGTGACGTTTTTCTTGTACAATTTTTTAAAATATTTTAATTATATTTGTTTATACGCGACAAGTAGTATGATTAGATTACAGATGATTACGAATTCCAAAGTCTAAGGACGAAATAAAATAAACAGCTAAAAGTGCTAAATTTACAAAATTAATTTTTTTCTTAGTATTTTTGCATTACAGACGGATTCGAATAATTAATTATCAATTCTCTAAATTTCAAATAACTCCTCGGATTTCATATTTGAACACGTTAGAATCCCATCCGTCCACGTGGTCAGGAGTGTCAAATTCTCAACGATTTTCAAACACGTCCGTGAATGTTTCGTCGACGAATATCAATTAACAATACCGCGAATTCAAGTATCATCTGCAACGCTTCCGAAGCGTTGTCTTCCAATAAACTTTCGCACGACATTCGACCCGGCAAACCAGCCCGAGGACCGTAGTCTTCGTCCAAGTACGTGTATCGTTTACAATTGAATTTCCAATCGAGTCGCGTGTCACCGTCCACTTGACTCCCGGGTATAATAATAATTGAACGTCTCCGGCACAACTAGTCGCGCTTAATTTATCTCGTTTGACAGAATCGAAAACGAGACACTGCACGGACTTTGCTCGGTAATTTCAGCTAGTTCGAGCATCAATTGGTCTGGCATTAAAAGTTGAACAAGAACACTTTCGTAGGTTCATCGCTGAGTGTCGTCGAAGAGAGAGCTCCTCTCGAAGAAACATGAACGATCGGTGAGATTCGTGTTTTCGCGAGGGATTATGAATACACTTGTCGTTAACATTCATCCATTTTCTTCTTTGTTAATTTCTAATTTAATCAACAAAGAAATAAATGTTTGATCAGTGAAACTTTGATTCTTTTTCCAATTGTTGTCTGTTTCAGAGAAATGAAAAACTCGAAGAACAATTTGAGCAACTCTGTAGGGCCAACAGAGACGACAGCTCTGAGACCAAAATTGGAAAGTTTCGACGATATTCTACCATACGTCGGTGATTATGGTAGATACCAGTGGCTGTTGTTGCTTTCGTTGCTACCTTCCGGTGTCACCTACGCTTTCCTCTATTTCTCGCAATTTTTCATCACGATCATTCCTAACGAACACTGGTGCAGGATAGAGGAATTAATCGATTCGAATTTCACTCAGGAAGACAGGTAAAATGATCCTTCGCAATTCTTATTCCTTCAATTTTAATATCCACGTTTTTCCTTTCAGAATTCGAATAGCAATTCCACAGACAAGCGAGTATCCATTCTACGATCAGTGTCACAGAAAGGACTTGAATTTCGCGGAGATCTTGAACACCGGGAAGGATCTACACTCCTTAGAATTTCAAACGAATAGAACCGTTGATTGCACACGATGGGAGTACAATTTCACCACGATTCCGTATCCCAGTGTAGGAACTGAGGTGAGGTATTTTAGAAGAAAAGATGATCTCCAATTGAAGATTTAAACGCTAGATATTAAATTTTTCATAATAACCCTGGTCATCGACTAATTCTTAGCCCTTGGTGATTAGCTAGATTGGGTATGCGACCGAGAGTACCTCGTATCAACGGCGCAGGCCATCTTCTTCTGCGGATCCATCGTCGGTGGTTTCCTGATCGGTTGGATAGCAGACCACAAAGGTAGAATACCGGCGTTAATGTTCTGCAACAGTATAGCTCTTCTGAGTTCCATCGCCACGGCAAACGCGAACAGCTTCTGGTCTTTTGCCACCTGTAGGTTTCTCACTGGAATCGCTTTCGACAACTGTATCAATATTCCTCTTATAATCGGTGAGATTCTTTATCCTTTGATAAATTGAATTTTTCATTCATTATATAAGAAATTTTCAGGGGTAAATTTTATGTACAGTTAAAACCTGTGATTTTTAATTACTCCATCAATGAATTTTTAGCTTCAATTTAATTTTTAATATTTCTTTCACAGTATTGGAATATATGGCGGTTTCCAAACGCACACTGGTGGTCAATGTTGCTTTTGGTATATATTTCGCAGTAGCCAGTACTATTTTACCCTGGATAGCTTACTACGTCTCCAACTGGAGGTACTTTACTTACATCACAGCTATACCTTTGTTATCCGTATTCATCACACCATGGATTCTACCAGAGAGTGCACGGTGAGCAAACTGTCTTCGACGATTCGAGTCTTTGCGCAAAGATTTGCTTATCGCAAATTTATCTTTGCCAGGTGGTACATTTCCAATGGAATGATGGACAAGGTTGTGAGGAAATTGCGAAGGATCGCTAGGATTAACCGGAGGTATCCGGATCCTCGTATTTACGACGTTTTCGTTGTAAGTATAAAAAAGTAAATGATCTTCAGTCATTCGGGGATTTATCAAAATAAAAAATGTCGAATTTCAGGGAAACCTGGAGACTTCTGAAAGGCTGCACGAAACAGCAACAATCTTTGATCTCTTCAAATCACCCCGATTAGCAAAAAATACTATTCTTCTAGTCTTATTTTGGTAAGTATTAATTAAAGAGGTAATTATATAGAATTATATAAAATCAACTGGATTTTATTCTATTTAATTACCGAAAATGAGTTTAAAAAAAAAGATTATTTTACAGGTGTCTTACCGTGATCGCCTTCGATGGTCACGTGTATTCCTTGAAGCTGATCCAAAGCTCGGTGTTCATGTCCTTCTCCGTTGCGTGCTCCACGGAACTTCCGGCAGGATTGCTGCTGACTTTGGTGCTGGATCGATGGGGTCGTAGATTATGCGGATTTCTAACCCTGGCGATGACTTGTTTGTTCAGTATCGCCGAGCTGATGCTGCATTCAAGTAAAGAAAAAAAATTCTTGTTAGACTCTGGATCATAGTAAAATTTCAAATAGTCGATCTAATTCTATTTCCACGCGTCTGTGGAATATTCCTATTCTTGATCTTGTTTCTGATGTAATTCATTTATCTTGTTGATTGGAAAATTCATTCTTGATTAATTTGTTGTTCAGCAACAGCCAAGCTTGTGATGTCGGTGATGTCACGGTTCTGTTTGAACATGTCGGCGAACGTTGGACTTCAATACGCGGCTGAACTTTTACCGACACCCGTTAGATCGCAAGGAGTATCCTTAATTCATATTTTCGGAATAGTCGCGCATTCTTTGGCGCCATACATCGTTGATTCGGTAAGTTGATTTTCATTTCCAAGAAAAATTAATTTTTAATTAAACCTGACTTTTTAACATTGATATATTCGTTAGGCAAAATTGTGGGAAGGATTTCCAATGCTGATAATCAGCACGGTGTCATTCGTTGGCGCGATGTTCGTCCTCTTCCTACCGGAAACTGTCGGCCAGAGTCTTCCTCAAACGATAAAGCAAGGCGAAGAGTTTGGGAAAGATCAGCATTTCTGGTCGTTACCGTGCTATCAGAAATCGCCGTTCGATGGTCATCGACATTACGGTTCTTGAGTACTTACAATTACTCAATTTGCATTTCTTACTTCGATGAAAAACACTTCTGAAGAAAAGTCGCGTTTCGTTGAAGCGAAATCAGCGTGATTCGATACGGGAAAATCAATCACGTTATATCGTATTCCTAACTTTTTTTATTATGTATTTTAATTGTTCTAAGTCTTATCGCTAATTTTCTCTCGTGATGGGCATGCCAAGAATACCTAGAACCCGTGTTCCTATATAGTTTTTTTTTTAATTATTTTAAGTCTCTCTTCATGTTTTTGATTCATTTTAATTGCTAATTATTCGTTTCCGTGATACGCACAGCAAAGATTCAAGCAGTTGGTTTGGTTCTTTAATGAACACATTTTTTGTTTACTTTTCTTTTGTAGTATTTTAGCCAGCGACCATCTGTACTTAAAAATATCTTCTTTTTCTTAACCGTATCACAAATATTGTTGAACTAAAGCAAATTCAATGCTAATTTTGTTAAAATTGTTTTTCAAGACTCAACTGCTGTTCATTTTTTATCCACAATTAAACTGTGTGTAGTTTCTATAATTTAGGAAGATTAAAATGGAACTATCATAAATTGTGCCATCAAATGACGATCAGTGTTCGTCGTTGTATCAAATAACAACGCTATCAACTGAAAAATACTTGTCTTACTTTTATTCTCGTTTCGCACACGTTTTACACATCTTATGAGACTAAGACCAGCGTTTCTCAACCTTTTCTTGGACCCACGATCCCCCCTTCATTTCAGGTTGTTCCAAAAGTTCTTTGACAAACATTTTTTTCATTTTTTAAAGTTTCTTTTTTATCAAGTATTTCAGGTTGAATTATTCTATTGTTGCTTTTTAATTTTATATTAAATAACTTTTGAGACAACTTGGAATCCCTTTGGTTGAGAATCTGGAGACTAAATGAACAGCTCGTTATTTTACTCTCACAGACATGAATGTATCCTCCAAACGATCAACTAAATCATTAAATGTTTGTAGAATTAAACTAACGCTTGATGATCACATCTCTATCTTGTACTGTACACTTCGAGTATGAATATTCTGAGAAATACACGTTTAACGTGTTTCAAGGAAGGTTCCCAGTAACAGGTGAAAATTGTAATTTTAATTATGCGAAAGAGAACACTTTCAATCGGAATCTGGGTGAAAAGGCAGAAAAATTAATACCAGCAGTTCTAGGATCTCTGCTGCAAATATTAAATTTTTATGGGTCCTGGAATATAGTGAATGAAATGGTTGGAATTTCTTGAAGATAGGTCGATTGCGATTGTCTAATTTCATAAGTACGCGAATTTTTCTATCCTACTTGGCCCGAAATGATCATCATTTGAACGTAATTGAGCATTCAGGATGAACAGATTGGAGGATCGTAAGGAACGAGAGTAACGATAAATCCGTGGCTGTCCGCGGATTTAAGAATTTGTTATCGCTAATTGGGGTCAAAATCGAACGTTCGATCGTTTGCGTGGTAACTTTTAAACCGGAGTATCTTCCCACAAAATTAATAGTCCTTTTAATACTAGACAGTTACAATAGGAAAATGAACAGGATGACACTTTGAAGAATCTAAATCTCTGAGGTAATTTATCAATCACAATTATAATACTTAAAAGTAATCACTGATAATTTACTAGAAACAAATTTTTTCTTTCTTCAAGAACTTCGAACGCGTCTCGGGTTCAAAAGTCGATCGAAACTTTCATATTGACAAATCACCTATAGATACATAAACGAACATCGTCCATTCACAGTAAACGAAACAAGTTGAAACGTTCTATTTACACCTTATTCAGATTTCAAATCAACAGCTTACAAGTGCTAACAATAATCCTAACAAATAATATAGGATCGTCTGAAGCTTCTCTTAAAAAAACAAATATATTTTTGTCTTTGCAAAAATCTACCACTCTGATTCATTGAACGTTTCAACAAAGGCTCTACGAATACTGTCATTCACTTTGAAATACTGCGCTAAATTGTACCAACGCTTGAAACGCGAAGATTAATTAATTATTTGATAATTATTAAACAGTATACCTATGGAATGCTTCTTGTATCGTCTCACGACATCCTCCTGCATCTCTCATACACGTTCCCGCAACATCGTCACACACGCACACACATTTAACGACTATATTTACAAAGGATTTGGCAAGTTTGAACAGCAGCCGCTATAATCTAGTGCAGTCGATCTTTTGAACACTATCAGCGAACGCGGGATTCGAGAGGCCTTGTTTCTTTCTGTATTTCTTCTTTAGCTGGTGACTCCTGTGAAAATATAATCGATGCGTAAGAACCGAAGGACACTTGGAACATATTATTTGTACAAAAGAAGAAATTATACTTACGAGGATACGCAAGGGACCCACCAGCAACTTTGCTCTCTACCAAAGTCGTTACCTTCCTGAAGGGTCTCTGGCAAATCTTGATTCAAGGTTTCTGGCAAACCTAAGGTCAAGAAGGCGTGCACAAAGGACAGCAAACCGAGGGCGATAAGAGGCAGAGAGGCATCAATATCAGCCTGTATTAAAAAATAAATCAAGAATATCCTCAATGTTGTTAATTTCTTGACCTGATAGAGAAAAGGTATTTTACTCACCAGGTAAATGATGTAGGGTCCCAAGATATGAGCCACGTAACCGATGATGTGGATCAAAGAGACACCCTGGGCTCTCACTACGGTGGGAAGCATTTCGGCCGCGTATTGGAAACCGATATTCGCCGCGATATTCACACCGAGACGTGCTACGATCGCCATAGCTACCGTAGGTGGACCTGGAAAAAGTAACTGAAAAATTAGTGATTCTGCAAGTGTCAAAGATTCCACGAAACGTGTGGCCATCAAAGTCAGATTTTCAAACTTTTCTATCGCAACTGAACCATGGATGTTGGATATTTTATTAAATAATTTTAATCGACGAGCGATCCATCAAAGAAAAACCAACCATTAGGAGTGGCCAGGGCAATCCAGGAGAAAATTCCGCAGAGGAACATGGACGCGAAACCCATCCATCGTCTGCCCCATCTGTCCAGGAAGAGTGCGAGTAGAACCGCGGCCGGAAGTTCGGTGAGCGAGGCCAAGGAGAAGGATGTAAAAACGTCAGGATCCAGAAGTTTCATGTTCCAAACGTGGCCGTCGAACACCCACACCATCAGGAGCCTTGAAAACGAGTTAATTACAAGCTCTACCTTTTTCCATGATTTTCAATGGCAGAAGAAAAAAAAGGAATTAACATGTATGATAATCGAGCGCTATATATTACCAGTAGAGGATGAGCATGATGGTGATACGCGCGAGTCGTGGCTTTTTGAATAGATGCAGCACGGTGTACTGATTATGCGATTGATCTTTCTCGATCATTGATTTACAGCTTTTCTCGAACTCGTCGAATATCTCCTGTTTCACTTCCTTGCCATTTACTTTGGCGAATTTCTTCAACATGTCGATCGCTTTGTCGACTTTGCCGCTGGTGATGTACCAACTGGAAGAAATTTTATGAAGTAAAAAAAGAAATTAAAAAAAAAGTAATTTTTATGAATTAAGTACCGTGCGCTTTCAGGAACGATCCATGGTCCTATGAAAGCGACCACCATGGGACACGCGGTGGCCATACTCAAAATTCTCCAATCCGCGATCCAGTATGCGATCCATGGCAAAAGACTGGCGGCTGCAGCGAAATAAAGACCGAAGGACATGTTCGCCACCAGTGTTCGGTATTTCGGACCGACATATTCTATCACTGAAACGACATTTATAATAATTTCATTTTATTATTCCAATATACATAATGACAGAAAAATGGTTAACAAAATATGAAAAAAAAGTATTTATTTTACATAATTTTTATGCAATAGAAAACAAAAGTAATCGACAACCGTTATCGTATTTCCTGAAATAATTTTGCCAGGTGTTACAATTCCTAAAATGACTCACCGATAATGAAAAGGACATTAAAACAATTGTCGAACGAAGTGCCGACGACTAATCTCGCGAAGCAGAAGCTCCAGAAACTGTTGCAAAACGCGGTGGCGACGGACGCGATGAAGCCAACCGAGTTGCAAGCGACCAGAGCTGGAATCCTGCCATAATGGTCGGCTATGTAACCGAATATTAAACCGCCGAGGATACTGCCGAGGAAGAAGGCTGACTGCGCTGCTGAACCTAGGAAAGCATGGTCGCAGACCCATTCCAACTGGAAACAAAAAGAAACGAACCACCTTGTACTCGAGTCAGGTATATTCCTAGAAAAGAGAGATATCTATTTGTAAAAAAAAAATAATTGAAATTAAAAAATAAATGGCTTGAATAATTTCTCAAAATAATTTGCTTAATTAAAATTTTTCCCTCGAATTTCTATTTAATTATATTTTAAGTATAATTATTATAATTTTCTTCCAAATATCATATTGATCAGATAACGCGGTTAATAAACGCGTTCATGGAAAAAAAAGAGCTCTAAACGAGCTCTGATAACGATGATGAGCACAATAGATAATTGCACTTTTAGTCTAGGCTTGTGCAATCAACAAGGACACTTTCCTGAACGATGGTGTTGTTTTCATCGCCAGAGTTAACGAGCAAAATCTGTATTTAAATCCAAGCTAATAGAGGTATTCAATTTTCAAAAAGACAGTCGAGATACGAGAAGTTCTGAGTAATAATTATAATTACGACAATTTAGTAGGTAATGAAATATTGTAAAGAGAAAATAAAGGAATTATAATGACTCACCTCGACGGCTATAGACTTGTAAGGTATCATCGTGTGATTAAAGCTCCACCCATATTTACACGGTTTAACAGGCCAAGATATATTTCCTTTTCTAATACCTTGGTCCAGCATCTCTTCGTAATTCACGTCGTACATGTTGCATCGTGAAAATGCAGTTGCACCTTCCACCTTTAATTCATCGATGCTTGCTGGAGGAATCGACAGGGAGATTCTGAAAAATTAAAAAGATTTTCTTTTTATGAAAATATTCGAACGCTTGCGTCTAAAATTGTTAACAAATAAAATATTTAAAAAAAAAACAATTGCATTGTGATTAATGTGTGTCACAACGAGTAGCGAAAGAGGAATCCCAACTTTTGAGGATAGTTTTGTAATTAGATTCAGCCTCGAGTGGGTTAATTGCTGATCTCAGCACGTTTTCGTTACGTCTATTTCAAGATAATCGTCGCAGAACAAACGCGTGTAACGAGAAAGAATTTCCTGGCCGACGAGTTCGTGGAAGCAGGCGTCTAGAATCGACCGGAGGTCGTCGACCAAACTGGTTTCCGGTGAAGCGTCGATCGCTAGGAAATCACCGGGTGCATATTTCGTTGTTATGATTCAGTGGAAAACACGGTGAGACAGTTTTTCTCGTTGCACGATTAATCGTTCTTTTATAAACCACATATGCTTGCAAAAGAGGATAATAGAATTTCATGACATAAAAGTCTGTCAAAATGGCACTTATGATACATCAAATTAAAGCTTAAAGTGTAACGAAAATAATTATACAAAGGTTTCATTAATATTTTTAATTATCGAGGAAGGATCGATCCGAGGAAACAATCATGCTCAATGATACAAGTTTTCTAAAACAATCTTCGATTATTATTAATTTTGAAGTAGTAACATGCAATACGGAAGTTCCGTGTGCAATCGAGGAGAACGTCGGATGATTGTGTTGGATTTCGCGCGTGGTTTGCATGCAGCATGTGCAAATATTATGATTCGCCAGTTAAATCGCTGTAACGCGATACGTTATCGTGATTCAAAATTAATATACCTGTGGTGAGCGGAAAATTTTGTCGCGATGGATTTATCGTTGGGACGAGGACAAATTGCAGGATCAATAGTATCGTAGAAAAGTTAGCGGGAGATCTAGGTATCAAGAATGCTGAGATTACTATTTGCGTTTGACGATTGTCGATGATAACATGTTTACTGATTTAGGAACTGTAGTTGATGACTCGACGTATTTCTTGTGCAATATACTTTGATCATTTTCATGGTACCACCAGTGATAATTTCTTCCCTTACTTCTCGTGGTCGGTGAGGTTCCATCCTTCGAGTTCTGGTACTGTACACCAGTGCTCAGCCGGCACCAAGGTGATGAAGAACTGCGTGAAGTAGAGGAACGCGTAGACGAAGGTGAAGGGTAGAAGCAAAACGAAGAGGAACCATTGGTAACGACTGGCCTCTCCGACGTACGGCAGGATGTCGTCGAAATTGCTGATCCTCGGACGTTCGCCCTCCTCCGCTTTTACTGACTCCACCATTACCGTCATTTTCTCGATCTCTGTAAAACGAATTATTATAAAATTATTCCAATAAGTGAAACAACATTCATCGGTTCATAAAAATTAACCCTTTCACTGCTTGGACGTTCTCCCTGGTATCGGTAGAATTATTATCCGATTGTTTCAGCTCTGGTTTTATTATTTAATTCGAAGTAAGCGTAACAATATACACGATTTGAAGTGAACTGAACAGTAAAACGAAAGATCCTTGATATCTCTTGCGAGATTATTGCAATCCCTTAATAGTTAATTACCGATTCGTTCAGCTGAACAATCCTTCTTTTTTTTCAATTAAGCTGTTCTGAGTTTCAAAGAAGTATTCGATGTTTCTTTGTTTAATCAATTATGTTAAAAGGAAAGAAAAAAGCTTCGGAGGGAAATATAGAAGAAAGATCAATCTATGCTTAGAATTGTTTTTAATAGAGGAGATATGACAGTTAAGAGGAGAGAATGTCTTTTATCCACTCTGCGAGCTATAATTAATGTCATGAGCAGCTCATTTAAATAACAAAATACCGTATCTCGAATTCTAGTTTACCCTGATATCGTTACAGTATGGAACAATTAAATTACTTAACTGTATTACCTTTTTTTACAGAACAATCATTTATTAAACAGTAAAAAATAATAACCAGTAGTTCTCTATTCCATTTGATTCATAGACTCTGTGTAGAAACAAAGAATAAGTACAATTTACAAAAATAATTATTAGAGTTTGGTCCTTGAAAATTTTGTTTTCACGACTGACAATGAGTTTCTACCTTGACACTAATTAACCATGTTCTACCTCTAACCACTCTTTTTGTTAATAAAGAGAAATCTCATTTGCACGCCACTTTTTTGCATATTAATTACACCGTACGAATTATACGGTAGTGGTCTTTGAACTGTATCAGAAAATGGTCCTGATCGCACCGTGTGCGTCATATGTAATTTATACAGGGGATGTCGCGACGCACCATATGCGTCATATGCAGTTTATGCAATGCAATCCACGATGCACCATACACGTCTTATGGTATCTTTTCTTAGAAATTTAAATAAAATTCTGACTGTAAAATTCTACATAATTAAATAAAGAAAAGTATAAAATATTTTCTAGCAAAATTACCTCAGAAATGATTGTATTTGTGAAAAATAAATCAATAATATTAGAAGAAATAATCTTTAGCGAAACGAACGAAATAATTATAGTGTACAATGATGAATCGACGATGATTCAGATGATTTATTAATCGCAATCAAGATGTAATAATTGTCGACCAAGGGAATTAAATAAACATGTTCAAATCGATCAAAATATGAAACATCCATACGGTGTTCAATGCCAATGAAACGAAATTCATGTTTTATTGAGAATTTAATTTTCCACGCATCCATCCAGAAAAGCCGAACGATGACTATGACAGGCTCTACCTTCGTCAGTCGATTACACAAAACCGCGGACCTTGAGGTATCTCGGATCCCAGAAGAAGTAATAATTAATGGAACGGTCGCGGCTTAACACAGATCCATGATTTTGCATACATGATTTTCCTCGCCTTCTCTATCGATCAGGGAAAGCGATCGCGATTGGAAATTCATCGATGCACACGCGTGCGTAAACGACGCGTAATAACAATTCGCGAATAGAAAAAAAGTAGATCAACGATGTCTCGCTCTTCCTTCTTTATTATCAAGCGGAGAAAGAAAAAATGGAATAGAAACTTCGTGACTCATGGTCGCTCTATTAATTGTTCCTTCCAGGATACACAGTTTCTTTCATCTTTGATAATTAGATTCCTAACGAGGCTGATTGTTGAACGATCTTTTTGCTTTTATCCAATAGGAAATTGTGTTTATTGATAGAAACGATCGATAAGAAGAGAAGGTGATCGAAGTTCTTACTATGTAGATGTTAATAGATATATTGTGGATGATAATTGAATGATAATTTCAGTGATATAAAAGTAATCGTGGATCTTGATTTAAGAGGAGATTGAAAGCTAAAGTGGCTATTAATTTTTCTTCTTTTTTTTTCAGTATTAGACGTTAATAAAAATCATCATACATGCATGGTTAATGAAAATATTAATTTCCACTATGTGATTTATTATTTGAAATTGAAATTTATTTTCATGTTTCATATTTTATGATATTTCTTCACTGCTGTTCAATAATTAGGCTATATTTATACCAATCTTCAAACACTCTAGTTTATTCGTACGATTTCATGAATATTATAATACAAGTGAAGATAGCGTAAGGAAGACAGCCTTCATCGAAAGAAGATCTGAAGAACAAACAGAGTCTTTGTACCTTGTATTTTTTCTCTTTGTGTATGCTAGACGACATATGCGAGACAGTTGCGAAAACAAGGAAGAACGCGTGCTGTTCTGAAAGCGCATTGAACGGTGATTCACAATTCAATGTTTATTTTGTTGGAGAAAATCAGTTGCAAGGTTCATTACAAGTTGTCACAATATACCAAAAATACTTCTTCTGATGAAGTGACAGATGTAATTTAACATTCGAATTAGCATATGTTGCTAATTTTTCTGAGAAAAATAGGACCTTCCTGTTATTTTAAAACGAATATCCTCGTAACTTCTATTTGCATCGACATCTGAAGATTCAAGATACGTACGAAAAGGATTCTTTTTTCAGTCCCATCGATCGAACAGTCGACTATAAAGCATTCATCTGTTCGAGGAAAGACAAATGCGAATAGCATACTAAGAACTAGACACCAACAATCACAAGACACTTTGAAAGACGATCTCGCACAACATTTACCTTTCTAAATGTCACGACACACATTGTTATACATTATACATCACAAGATTCTGCTCCAAAATTTTCCAACGGCGTACAATTTATATAAAACAAGGCGGTTTAATAAAAAATTTCAATGTTTCAAAGATAGAAAGAAGCTCTTTTTACCAAATGGTAAGAATCTAAAAAGCAGCAGACGAGGTTGACCAAAGTATCACAAATGAAAATTTTCAAAAAACTCAATTCTTCACAGCACTATTCAAAAATATCAACTTTCAGAAGACGTAAGAAATTGGCCTTGGTCTATCAGGGGTAGAAATGCGATTAGAATCCAACTTTTCACAAAACACAAATCACATCTCCAAAATGACCAACGTTCGAAGAGCATAAAAATTCGAATAAAAATTCACTGAATCTTCGCGTTTACCTTCGGTCGAATGGTGGTCCAGTCACAAATCAATGCGTCACCGAAACTCGCGGGAAAAAATAATTCGGGTTCGGTTCACTCGGATCGAGCGTAGTCGAACTCGAAGGTGTGCTTCGAGTTAAAAGGGAGAAATAAGGGAAAGCTGAGCCGCGAATCGCAACGATCCGTGCTAACGAGGGTAAGCACGTGTCTCGATCTCGATCGTGACAATGATCTTGGCCGACACCAGTGCACGAGAACCACGCGATTTTTCGTGACGCCGCGCTACATATCGTCGTTTAAAAGAGGGCACGCACCGACTGTTCGCCGCGTGTACAATTAGCGGGGCTTTATAGCTTGTGCAAGAACGAAAGCTAAACCCCACCAACAGTGTCGAACGGCCATTGGACGATCAGCCTTTGGGCCCCCTTGAATCGTTACTGACGTCACTGGAGAACTCCATGAACGGGGGATTTTGCTTCTACTTTACGCAGATCTCCTCTCGTTTACTCGTGTCTCGTCGTGGATTAACGGAGCAACCTGTTATTCAGAAGGCATCCGTTGGGTTTCTTCGTGACGTGATACTGATTGTTTTTTCTCGTTCTCGTTTTCCTCAATACTTAGAAGGAAAGAGACACTCGGTAGACGTACGCAGGTCGTTAGCGATGGATGTTTAAAAGTCTTCGAAGTTTTCTAGCGATCCAGGCATACCGGAGCTGCCAGGCACTTTGGGTTTTCAGTGGAATTCGAGGAGTCTTGAAGTATTTAAATATCGAAACCTTTCGAAGTAGCGAAGTTTGGAATTTTCATATCTTGGATCTTGAAATCTTCAATCTTGGAATTTTAAACCTCGGAGCATTTTTCAACCTGAAGCATTAAATCTTGAGCGATTGAATTTTGAAGTGTTGAATCTTGAACGAGGAGATCAGGTAATGAATTCTGATAAGAAAACGATGACAAGTGATAGAGATTTTGTAACAGGGTGGAATCGGTTTAACGTCGATTCAAATTCTTTGATCGTGTTTGCGATGGTATTCGTATTAATGGTAAATTGATTGGTTATGAGAGCGTGAATCGATAAGCGTGAACAATGATCGATGAATAAACAATCGTTGTTATTTATGAAAATGTGAATACGATACTTGAGAATGATCGATCGAAAAGAAACTATAACAATCATTTTCAAAAGATGAACTGTATTCACAATTGCGCCACAACGTAGCTAATTAGCAAATTAATTAATCTCTGTTTCATTTCAAGTTCATTATACATGCGAATAAATTTACTATTTACTGTTGCGTTTCTATAAATGTGGAAACCTCGAAATCTGATTGTTTGATAAGGATTGAATTTATAAATCAAGGATTAATAATAAATTTATAAATTCCCATTTTATATAATTAATTCCAGACTAATTAAAATCGTTTTATCTATTTGTAGTTAATGAATCACGGTTCTCGAGTCATTTAATCGTTTTTCCCCAACGATGGATCATTTTCATATTTTCAATATGTAAAAACATTCATACTTTTTTTCTTTTGCAATTCAAACGAATTTATCGTATTAAAGTGAAATAAGTATTGTAAGTAAAATTCAAACACGATAAATTACAAGGTGACGATAAATTAACACGTCGATAGTCAAAATGGAAATGGTCACGCGTAGTCAGACATACATTACGAAAATTCAAATGGTTTCGTACGAATTCAATTCGCGATGAGAGTTCCTTTCTTCATTTGTGAAACCACCTGTAAACAATGAAACTCAACAGGTGATCGATTGACCCAGTTCTCGACAAATAAATTCGCTCGATTACCAAGCTTCCTGATCCTCGAAACAAAGTGATCAATTGCCCAAGGCGAAATCGCAGTGAGTAATGAAATCCATTCGCGAAACTCCGGATACGGAGAAGCCGAGAACTCGGGAACTCCACTAGCAAAGACTCGTGTACTATGTACACTCGATACCCTTGAGGAATAGAGAACTTCACTTTGTTAAGACTTATTTACCGACTAAATTCTTTTCGTAGAATTTAAAATATCCGATGTGAAGATTGGAAAATCGAGAAAACCTGGGAAATTAGAAAAACTGCGAAAATTTGGGAACTTAAAAAATGAGGAAAAATTGGGAACGCCGGAAAATTGGGAAAATTTAGAAAAGCAGGAAGGCTGGAAAATCGAGAAAAATTGGAAATCTTGAAAAATTGTGAAAACTGGTGAAATAGAAAAAAATTGTGAATACTGGAAAATTTGGAAAAGTAGGAAGACTGGAAAATCGGGAAAATTTGGAAATCTTGAATCTTTTATTTCACAAATCACTCTATTTTTAATTAAAAACATGTTACTAAATGCAAATTTGAACGTCACTACATGGATATCACTGAAAACATGATAATAGGTATTATCCTGTGTCTGATTAGGTATACGTGTTTCTACTGTGTGTTTTTAGTCATGTTTGTAGTAACATTTACCATACTAAGTAAGTAAGGCTATTTCAATCGTGGAAGTCACCGTGTTAATTATATATCTCTTTAATTGTACACATTTTTTCCCCGAAGATTATCACAAAGACTTGTGTAAATCGACCTTCGTCAGGATTCTGCGAGAATGTCGATCGTAGGTATATTTCATTCAAGTCAATCTGTCATTCCGTAATGACTGTAAAAATTAATCGATTCATTCATATTCAGGAGTATCACGAACCGATTGATTCTTGATAAAATCACTCTGACCCAGAACTCGAGCTTTTCATGTTTTCCAAATCTCACATCACTTAATTGCACTACAAGCACATTACTCTTTGTTTATATTACATAATTTTTTCTTGTCAAAACAAGTTGAAAGATGGTAAAAACAAGTGTGTTCCTTGTTGTTGTTTGGAAATTAATCAGGTGTACGTGTAAGATATTGAACAAATGGAAAAAACAAGGTGAACGTTATCGTATTTATTTACGTAACGTTTACGAAAATTTATGAGCGGTAAAAATATTAAAGAAAATGAAAGAATAAAGCGATTTCGTTAAAGAAATTGCAGCTGTTACATTCGCAAATACTTCAACATCTTTCTCCCATTGTAATCTTGACGTTCGAATCAGCTTTATCACTTTTTAATTCATGGAAACTTTTCATCTTTATCACTGATAAATGTATGCATGTGATTTCAACATTTCGAACATAATTTCTGAAATATTATAATAAACTCTTCAATTTGAAATTTTTCTTTTCCTTCAAGAGTCACAATTATTAACACATAATTGCAAATTTTGCATTTATTATTTTTCCATGGTAATTAGGGATGGGATTAAAAGGTGGTATTCATAGAAAATATTGCTTCATTCTGTGATAATACATCAAAAGAGGGATTTACTCGAATTGAAGCGAAACGATGTATGCATACCTTTCGCAAACGAAAAACATTTGCATAGGTAATTGCAGCTATAAATAAATTTGAGCAGCGAATTCCGTTATCAGAGCAACTGAAAGATCCAAAGCGGAAAAGAAACACACATTATACCGTTGCTGTTGGGAGCTGAAGAATTAATTCAGGAGAATGTTAATTGGGTACTTTGTTCGTTTATGTTGATTTAAGATGATTTTAAAACTTATGCAAATATCTAATATATGTGCAAAATACTTATCTACGTCAAATTACGTATAGATATATAAAAGCTTCGGTAAAAAGGTAAGCGAAAAATAAATGTAACGTACAATTATTTAGATAAGAAAGTTACACGCGAAAGCATTTTCGACCGATGTGTAACTACCGCAGGAAAATAAAATTTAATTCACCGACGGATTTGGAGCAGCGGCATTATTTAGATGAATGACGGTATAATGCAGGATGACAGCTTAAGGCGCCACACAATAAAACACGCGGTTAGAACACTGGTGTCTGTGAAAAAACGAAACACACCACGTGTACTCGAAGCGTTTCGTAATATTGAATCGATTCCTTCACAAACGTAACCTTCGACTGAACGAATAAACTTAAAAATAGTGTATACGAGAAATGTAAAGAGTTAGAACATTCCCATGATCATTAAAGAAGAAAAAAAGAATTAGAAATTAAATTAAATTTTTTTAATTAATCATGGAACTTGGTAAACTTGGAAAATTTGAGAACCAACATCAAGAAAATTTTTCTTTCTTTTCTTTTTAATTTTAATTAGGTAGAATGGTAATTTTCGAATACTATAGTAAACGGTGAAGTCATCTTTTCAGAATCAATGTCTTCTTCTGTACAGAGTTTCTTGTCACGAGGAGAAAAAAAGACACCTGTTGGGAACGATACGTTCCTTGATCTTGTCAGCACCGCTTCCATTCGGAAGAAGGTAGCCGATGACCTTGGTAGCAAAGAACAGCCATGGAAAGCCCATGGTTCCCAACAGTTCTTGGAGTTTGCCAGAGGCGGACACCAAAGAACCGGAGAAGGTCGTTCGTGTGATTACCAGAAGCCACGAAGACGAGTTTGAAACCGGTTCATGGAAGAGAATCGAGATGAAGGAGTAAGAAGACGAGTATTCTTGAGCGTGTGTAAAATGGTTCGAGAGGAGGAGGAAAGAAATCGAAGCAGAATTTCATTCGAACCATCGTTTCATCATTGATTTGCAAGTTTTTTTGGTCAATTAATAGATCGTTGCATATCAAATGGTCGATTTGGAAATATAGACATTTTGATAGAATTTGATGACATAAAAGTATCGCAAAATGGCACTTGTGATATATCAAATTGAAGCTTAAAGTTTCACGAAAATAACCACATAAGGGTTTGATTGATATTTTTCATATAAAATGGCTGGTGATCAATTATAACAAATTATGACCATATAAACGTTTTATTAATATTCTAAACCTTGCAAATGATCATGACATTGATAATAATAAAAATGTAATTATTTCCACTTGTAACTGGAAAACAACGATCAATTAGAAAAAGGATATTAAAATGATAGAAGGCTTTCAATTTATCCATAATATAGTTACATAATGCAAAAACATGTAAGTGCAGGAGTATCATATTCCAATACTTCAGAAATTGATTTTTAATGTTTGTGTAATGAACATATGATTCAATCAGGTTCTATATTTTAATGTTTCATCATTTCCATTGGCGTGTGTCACTCGAAATGATGTCTAAGCGAAGGTTGGATCTATTGTGAACGTTCAATTCGAAGTAGTTGGAATTTTTAGACACTTCCCTCTAACGAAGACGGTTCATTCAATTGGCCAAAATATAAGTGACTGTTTGAAACTCTATATCAACGAAATTGACACGAGCCACGAATTTCGACGTCAACTTTTTAATAGGAATCAATGATCACCAGAAATTCCAATTACTCGTTACATAAGAAATAAAAGAAAAATTACAAGTTTCGCTCCAAATGGAATGAAAATGAAATGAAATAGAATAAATTTGTCAATTCTTTGCAGGAAAACATATAAAAAACTTCGACAATAATGGAAGACTGTTGAATTGACTAATTTCTATACAACGATACTATAGTTTTATCAACTACTTATTTCAACCACAAATTACCTGATAAACGTGTATCGTTAAAAAAATATAAGTGAACACGCAAGCGTGAATGACGTAAGAATTTATGGAACAAACTTGTAAGTTCTTCATCGCGCGTAATTCTTGATATTTAAAAGTAAATTGCATGTCGTTGAAATGTCACCGAATGCTGCAACGAAACGGGTCTCGAAATGTGCAGTTATCGATGTCATTACTCTCTCCTCTTGTTGACAACCAACTAACCGCGTAAAGGGATATTTAAACGAGTAAATAAAGAGATACAGGGTGTCCTTCTTTATCCTCTTAATTATTCGTTTATCAATAAAATGTCTCAGATAGAAGAACAAGACGAGAACAAGTGGCCATCTCAAGAATTAAAATTGGCCATTCCAGAATCACTCGCTCCTACAGACTATCAAAAACTCCAGCTCCCCAATGTGAAGAGTGTGACTCGGCAATATCCATAGATCATTTAATCCTCCACTGTACTAAATATGATTTCCTCCGCAACAAACATAAACTAGAATCTTCTCTCAAGGACAATTTAAAAAACAGTAAAATACAGGACTTACTCAAATTTATAAAAGATACTAAACTAATAGAACTGATAATGTAAGTTTTACCTACTCCTTGATGTCGCTAATAACCTTGTAATTGATGTGACAATAAACCTTAATTTAAAAAAAAAAAAAATCTTGTCTTCTGTTTCATCGAATGAAATTATATTCTTCTTTTATATAGGTAGATTCTTTGGAAAATTTTGTGTAAAAAATATAAATGATGTATTTGACACTCTGTATATTTATAAATATGTGCAATACCAGTTAATAAGAGGAAAACTTAACTTCTAAGAAATGTTAGAATACTTTATGATTTACAGGTGTACAGGAAAAATATTATTTTTTTTTATTCTTCACATTCAAACATTCTTTAATATTGCAAGTGAATTTATTATCATTTAAGAGGGGAAACTTGAAAGGTTGCAAACAAAGGCAATGACTAGAGCAAATATTGAATATGAAGCTAGGTATCCATTCAACATTACAAATGACTCAGTTCTTTCTGGTCAATTGTAGATCTTTGTTTAGAGATAACTATACGTTTCTGTTACACTGATATCGGGAATTATCGTTTCGGATCAAGCACAATGCGATTACTTTCTCCATTGGTTGAGAAACTTACGGTATAGCGTCATTCACCCTTCTCTCGTGACGCAAATCGCTGTTATGTGCGTGTTTCTGTACGAGAAATTTCGAATAAAAATGTCGACGATGGAAAAGGAGGAAAAGTCGATATCAGTGACGGTAGTCGTCATTAAACGTCGTTAAATTTTTCACGATTTCCCAATTTTCCCAATTTTCCAAGCTTTCCCGGTCTCTTAAACTTCCCTATTTTTCGCGCTTTTCAAATTTCCCCAAATTTTTAAGTTTTCCACGTTTTTCCGATTTCCCATTTTCCCCGAATTTTCCAAGTTTTCACGGAAGAAAATATATTTCAACGACTCGAATTCGGGAAAAAGCGAAAACTGTACTGTTCAGCTATAGTCAGTAGCGTTAAATTTACATAACATTGTCACTATCTGTTATTAAAAAAAGAAGAGATAATTTTTATGCTGGCTCTTATCGAATTGTTTAGTTTTCAAACACTTTTCGTTTCGCACAGTGTTTTGTAATACTTGTCGGTAGTATGTACATAAATGTGACTTATTACTCTTGAGAACACCTTACACTTTGAATCGCATCTGTTTCTTTTTTATCACACACTCTTCTTTTGTATTTTCGCTGTCTACGAAATGACTTCTATGAATGGACGAAATTACCGTCAGCAAGGTCAATTCTGGCCGTCTCGTAGCAGGTATTCGCTTTTCTACGAACCCACCTTAAGTTCAAGTGTAATGTAATAAACGATCTCGAACGAGTTTGGCGAACAGGTGCGATGGAATGTTACTTAATAGCTTCCTTAATTCGCCTGTTGGACACTCGTTTCAACTTTATTTTCTACTTTTTAGATCTCTCAGTATCTTTTCAAATTCTCTAAACAACTCCATGGCAAAAAATTGCGAAATATATTAAAATAACGGTAGAATCTTTCCAATAGCACATTTTTCTTACAATTAGTGATGGTCATCAGTGACCACCATGGCCCAAATGAAAAGACAAGCGTCGGTCCCATGGGAACACCGTGGCAGCGAAAGGGTTAAGAAAGAAGTGTTCTCGAATTAAAAAATCTGCAGATGTACAAAAATAAACTCCAATATCACTGAGTAGAGTATAAGCATAAATTATAGCGACAAACAATGCAGCTTAGCTCTTTTTAATTCGCGTCATTAGCGGTATAGTCGTTACGTGTTTAGATAAAATCTTCATTACCAATCCATCAGCTCGTACGATGAAGAGAAAGAGGATTATCTTCGAGCTCTGTTTCTCGCGGAAAACTAACACTGTTCTGACCTTAAGCAACATTTGCCAGAGACGATTAGACTCGACTCATTAAAATATCGACTAAACATAATTTCATAAAAATCAAAGTCATTTACAATTAGTAATAAAACTTCAGAACGAGGAAGAGGGAAAAAAAGAGGAAGAAAAAAAAAAGAGCAGGGAATAATACGCTTCGAGGTACGTCGACAATTATTTTCAATGTCATTTGACGAATCCATCGAAAGGACGAGGTAGGTTGATCTTTCACGGTGACAGTTTTTGCCAAACGCGAGGGAAAACGCGATCGCTCCCAACGACTTCCGGTTGCACTAGCGTCACGCTGATAATTGCACGAGGCTGAATTTTTCGAATGATTCGAGATGTCTCCTGTGTGAATAGCTCCTCTGATTTTTTTGCTCGTAGAACCTCGACGAGTCGGGCAATTAACGAATAACCGGGCGTAATTGGTTACGGATCAACTAGCATTTTTGCACATATGCACTTCTTTTGTTATGCTTAAAGAATTCTTAGCACGAAGTAATTTTTTTGACAAATAATTATTGAAAGAATTATTGGAATTTGGAATGGATAGGATTTAGATAACACTGATTCGTTAATCGAAGAAGATTTGATAAGATTTGATAAGAAAAAGTATCGTGATTCTTATAATTTTACTTTTGGAAAATTGTAAAAAAACTTCTAATCCTTTTTCTAATTTCGATTCTATTCTAAAAAGCATGCTTCGATTCGCATGAGACGAATTAATAAAATTTGTAAGCGTGGCATTCTTGAAAACAGGAAAAGGTTTTATAAAGCCTCCTATCGATACATCAATTGTTCTTACAAACGCACGACTAATTCTAAGACTTAAATAAATCATCGTCAAGACCCATGATTTTTTAATCGATTGCAAATGTAAATTGCCTGAAGGATTAGCATTTCCTTTACGATAAATCCAGTCTCGTTCCATTTATAATATAATTAATGCGCTTGAAACGCAAACAAAGAAAGAACAAAGTTAAAGAACTTCAGTCATTTTTTAACCACGAAATCGTACTTTGTGTTATGACTTTCGGGTCAAATATTCTGGGGATTTTTTATCACTGCGCGTCGCCCAGTCGGTTTCTCCACTTCCGGCGCGCGTAATTCAACTCATTCCATGCTGCAATGTGCTTTCAGCAATATCCTTGGAAATATCTACTTGGTCACGCTCAACTGCGTTCGATATAATATTCAAGAAAAAATATATCGACTATTTGTATTGGCGATTCTCTCCAACCACGGCGTTTAGAATAAAAAAATAATCGGGAGAAGGAGAGAAAATGACACAACATCTCCTACTTTTGATGCTTGATAAGCATCTTAATTGATGTCGCAAACAGATTTCTATCTACGTATATCATAATCACCATTAGATAACATTTTTCTATTGCAAAGTTATAATAGAAGGATGTATATTGATCGAAATTGATCCCAAATAGTTATTTACCTACACAAGGTTTAAATCCATAGTCAAAATCATCGATGACCCCATCGTCCGACCCCCTGCCACAGTAAGTAGATGAAAGAAAAGTAAATCTACGAATCGTTCGGAGGGACCGATAAGTCAAACGATCGTGTCATCGCCGATGTTGGCAGATTTCTTTTACAATTTCGTGCCGCTCCATTCAAATGAATTCAAATGTCTCATCAATAATTCATAAGGCCGGTTATCAAGGCTGCGAATCGTCCTGTGCATCGTCGAGATGATTCATGACTCCTCGAGGATGTCCTAACAATGGAAGGCAAATAATAATATCAATCGATAGGGGTTTCCTCAAATGAAACATTCTTTCGGGGGGCGGGCCGAGTCTTCGACCCTTACCGAAAATATTAAATTTCTAAGATTGTTGAACTTTTTCATTTTATTGCAATTCGAAACGTCGATCATCGACGGCCCCTCATCATCAACGAACCTCTCTTCCTCGTTAATTTACGTGTCATGGCAAGCTATAATTATAGTTACCGAGAATTATAGTCATAATTATTGACAAATTTTCCTCCGAGTAACCGGCGTCGCTTCCCAGAAACAATTCTAGGAAAACGGAAAACCATTTCCTTTACGTCAAATCAAGTTCTGCCTTAAAAGACCCTACGGCTGGAAACGATCGAATAAAATTGCAATTGCACTTACGATTCCGCTCGGAATGGGACATGCGAGCAACGCCTGACCGTCTGGTCTACCTTCGAACGGACACGGGAGGAACAACTCGGGTCTCCTCGAACTGTCTTCTGCAACGTCAAGCAGGTTCTCCCAGGACACACCTCCGCGCGATTTTCTCGTTTATCCGGGAATCAAAGTGTACCGACGGAAATATGCGTCACGATAAACACGTTTGTTTCAACATTACAGTAATTTGTTTTTGTTGTTTTTTTGATATACAACGTTTATTATTAACACATTATCTGGTGCAGTAATAACGATTGTGAGTTATATATAGACATGTTATGCTGTCGTTCACCAAAGATTATTTAAGTATTTAATTTAAACTTTCAGTTTTCATACCTGCAATTGTGAGGATAACGTTGAGGTTGATAACATTATTTCTTTTTTGGAGTGGAGCTCCGCTATTGAACCACTGATCGGGATTTTTATGACTTTTTAACTGAAAATCTAGATTATCAATTTTGACCATTCTTCGCAAGCCGATCACAGTAGTCACTGTGAGTGTTTATATAGAATAAAATCAGAGATCGATGGTGTCCTTGAGGAATGATCACAGAAACCGATACCCACGTTGAATCTAGGAGAGAAATCGGAATTACGCTATCGCGCGAGCTTCGAATTCGTGTTCGGTAAATTAAAACTGGTGTTGTTTTGTTTTGTTTTGATCGACTTTTAAATCACAATATCGCTCCAGTATGTCAGCCACGAAGCGGACGGCGGCCTAGTTAAGTATTTCGATGAATAAAAATGCAAATTATTCGATTGGAAATTGTTTCCCTTAGGAATGAAACAAGAATGTCTGGAAAGAAAATGTTCGATATTCAATTTTTTCTTTTCTTTTATATGGAGGATGCACTCGATGAATATATATTGATTGCACTTTCGTGGAATCTTTCGAAGATCCCATCTCTGGAACTACTTTTTCTTTTCCTTGGGTATCAACGTCGACGAAAATCACGTATTCAGTGGAGGGCTGATCGAGAGGACGACTTTGTGAGTTTCCTTTCGTTCGATCGATTCTATTTGCATAAAGATGATGCAAATGCGCATGGTTGTTGCGCTAAGCT